AAATAAAACCTAAACGTAAAATGGCCTGGAGATGTGGCTTAAGTGATACAGTACTTGCCTGAGTGTAAGGACCTGCCTTCAAATCCCAATATTGCAAAAGAGGAATGAATGTGGCCTAGATGTAGAGATGCATGTTTGCCTCAGTGCTCAGGAGACTGAGGAAGGAGAATTGAGAGCTTGAGGACAGCCTGAGCTACTTAACAAATCCCTTAACAACAAAAAAAATGTTACAATGAAAGAAAATTCATGCTGCTGATAATCTCACACAATCTTTAAGGAATATAAACTGCCTATCATTAACTCTCTTGGCTCATAAATACATCCACTCAAAAATACAAAGTAGAAAATACACAGATCATAATCACAAAAATATGAAACATATTAACAGCAACCTGTTCTCCAAGGTATCTTTATATAAATTTACACAACGTAAGACATTTCATCAGTTCAACTTAAGTATAGGGATCTTTTACACTGATCAAGCCTGGATGTAACCTTGATAGTTACAAACGAACTTCCTCTCCTTACTTTGAAAGTAGGCTAAGACAGAAGGCAGCTGAACTCAGACCATATATAGAATAGGCCATTAAGTTTACTTACCCAACCCCTAGCACCCACACCTAGAGGAGCCAGAGCTCCTTACACAAACAGGTGATTCCATGTTTGGGGTTGTAAATGCACACAGTAAATTAGGAGCATCTTGTTAAGCCACAAAGCACAGAAGCTATTAAAGGTTAGAAGTTTAGTGTCAAAAGGGCTTGACAGCCAGTTTAAATAAAGACAAACAACCATCACAGACCTTGTGATGGAAGTGAACAACACTGCTCAGGAAGCAAGGGCATCTCATCCTAAACCCAAAATATTGAGCCTGAATCACATTAGGCCTCACTATCAGCTTATGGGATACAGAAAGGGTAGAGAACATGATGACACTAGGAATGCAGTCAGCTAAATCCAAACTAGAGGAAACTACCAGATATAAAAGATAAAGTGTGGGCAGGGGTGTGCTGAGAGACATAGGGAAACCAGTTGAATTAAAAAAAAAAAGATTCCTTAAACAGTTACATGTTGACTTTAGTTGGGTCCTGAGTAAATCAAACTACAATGATTTATTAATTACAACAGAAAATTAATGTGGCAACTGGACGAATGCAAGCATTGACTCTATGAAATTAAGAATGTATTTTTAATAAAGGGATTATTATTTTTTGAAACGTGTTGAAATAGTTACAGACGAAATGCTCTGAGGCTTGAATTCCTTCAAAATAATTAGGGTAATATAGAGAGGGAGATAAAACAAGACTGTCTATTTATTAATACAAGGCATGTATTCATAATTGCTGAAGTGGTATACTGGTTTCATTATTCCATTCTCTTTACTTCTCAACATATATAGGATTTTCTATTAAAAAAAAAAAAGACCCCACCATTTTAGGAAATTCACATGCACTCTCACTGGCCTTTTCTGCTCTCAAATACTTACTGTATTAATTTTCTGAACCAAAGCCACTTTTCTCTCCCACTCAAAACATGTTCAACCTTAAATAAAGCAAGCTGTTCTCTATTATCTTTAAGACTTTTGCTTGAAAAAGTTAAACAGCTGACCAAAATCTTAGCATTCTGTCATCTTGTAAAAGAGCCTGGTTCATAGTATCAAATACATTAAGAAATAAATTGTTGCTAAAACTAAAAAGTAATCAGTTAAAATTAAGTTCTACTTTGAACAAAGCCATTAAGAATACTATTGGTTTACTGACAATTCAGAAACACTTCTTATCCAAATATGATATTTATAAAGCCTCAAATTGTATTCAACACATTTCATGTGAATAAGTACAAATGAGTTTTGAGCCAAGTTATTATTCCCAACTACTCAAAAACACCATGGGTTAGTAATAGGATAGATTAAGGAATCAATATACTATCAAAACCAAGTGCACAGACAGAGCAAATGCTGTGTATTCACAACCTTTCTGAATGTCAGGTTAAGAATAACAACAAATTAGTCTTACCAAATTAGGAGGAACAGACACCTTTGGAAATAATTTTTCAGAACTTCTTTAGCTTCCAACTCAACAGCTTCCACGTGTTGTTGTCTTTCCTAAAGAAGAAGATACACCAAATCAAACTTGGAAGATTATAGAATTTAAAAACAGAAAAAAGCTATGGTCTTTAATACTAAAGGAGGAAAAAGGCAATTAAAAATTATTTTAGTACTGACAAATGTCAAAATTTCCCATTTTAAGGTATTAAAAAAATACTTCCATTAAGAAAAAATAGTAAATATCCTATATTAATCTAGCCAAAACAATATCGGACAATAGGGACATTTTCCTTGGCACTAGAAAGACAGTGATTTGCCTCTCCAGGTACAATATTCATACTCTCATTCTCTCTCTCTTTTACACACACACACACAACAACCCACTTCCCACAATCTTAGCAAGAAATATGCATGTGGACAATATAGCTGAGGCTTACTAAGTAAATCTACAAAAAAAAAAAAAAAAAAATCTATTGCCAATAGACTATAATGCCATGGGAATAAAATGGCAACTTTCATATTTCCATCTTCAAGGTCAGGTGAACCTATTTATGCTAAACAAAACAAAACTTTGATGAGTGGTAAAAATGGTAAAAAGAGTAAAGAGAACAAGGAAAAACTCATGTTATATTACTTCACTGCTGCCAAGCATCAAGAAGATTAACTCTGACACTTGAATATGGACTTAGCTGTAAATGTAAGGTACTGCAACTGTGCATGTCTAAATCTGCTGATTTTAAATCCAACTCCAATGGATACCAATCATGAACTCAAAATCATTGTTTGTCAAAATTAGGGAAATGATTCATCACACCCTACCCCCCACCCAAATCACATGTTCAAACTATCTCTACAAGATTTTAAAAGAGAAATACCTATAAAATGCACATCTAAATCAAGCCAAAACTATCTAAAAACAATGCTTCTAAAGTTCAACAAATGACAAGAAGGCAAGCAAGCCAGCAATTTCCCAATCATATCTTCCCCCCAAAAATTTAAGTGTTTGTTTCTTTTTTGGAGGGTGAGACTGAGGTCTGAACTCAGGGCTCTGCAGGTGCAAAGCAGGAACTCTGCCAACTTGAGCCATGCCTCCAGTACCTCTTTGTGTGGTTATTTCAGAGACAGGGTCCTGTGAATTACTTGCCTGGGTTGGCCTCAAACCTCAATCTTCCTGACCTCAGCCTTCCAAGTAGCTAGGAATATAGGTGTGAGCCACCAGCACCCAGAGATCTTTTTGAAATCTATTCCTGATTTAAGATGCACACACTTCAACTTGTGAAAATTTAATCACATGAAAATTTAAAATTTACACAACAAAGCCAGAGCCTTTACCATATTCTATATACACAAAAGCTGTTATTTTATTAAAGATTAATGGTAATATTTTAGAATAGGTGTTTTACTTAAGTATTTTCAACAATTCAGTAAAGTTCACTAAATTATAGGAATATACCAAACTGCATAAATAAGGTGTATGTGCTCAAAGAAAAACAATTGCTCTTTCAGAGACAATTTAGAGGTAACTTTACCATTTGACCAGAAAAATGCTAAAGCAATCCTTAAAGGAAATCAGTAACGAGAAGAAACTGTGGAACAGAGCTTTCTAAAAACTTACTAAAGGAAAAACTCGAACTAAATAAGTAAGTCTCTAATTTACAATCCAGAAGCACAAAGAAAAGTTACTTTTATTCTCTATTAACAATTTTAGCTAAAATCTTTTCATTTGATATAACAGTTTGGTTGTAGATAGCAATTTCCATTCTACTTTAACATGTGGAAAAGATCTAATGTTGGAAACTGCATTATAATTTCCATTATCATTTTTATCTAAGTGAAATATATATATAAAATATCTTCCATGTAAACCTGTCATTTATAGTAGCTCCTTGCAAGTCATTTACAGTTGTTTCATAGTAGCGCATGCCTGTAATCACAGCACTTTTGAGATAGAGATGGGGATCACAAGTTAAAGGCCAGCGTAGGCTACAAACTGAGACCCCACCTTAAGGAAGAAAACAAAAGTTAGCAAAAAAAAAAAAAAAAAAAAAATTAAAATAAACAATCCTGGAAGGCAGTATATCATTTTCTGTTACACTTCAGTTGACTGTTACTTATTTTTATTTCTACCACCTAAAACACTAGAGGTATTCTACACAGTTACTTTTTCCAGCACAATCTGTGGCACTGGGTCCATCAACATTATTTTACACCTTATGCTATCAAGGACAGCTATATTCTGCTGAAACAGAAGACTATAAATTCTTTCCTCTGAAGGCTATCAGCTATGCAAGAAGCCACCATGTGCATAATTATAGCTATCTTTTGGAATGATATTATATGAGAGCACCTTTGGCAAATGGCATATAATTTCTGCAGCAACAGCATCATCAGCACAGTGCCTAGCTATTCAGTCTCACTAACAACACAACAGTGATAAACAAAGGTAAAGACAAGCAGAAACCATACTGGAACCCTTGCTGTTGACAGAAATGACTGTCACAATTGCAACCCCTCACAATGAAACAATAACGTCCTATTAGACCTACATTCTTCTAGTCTCTGGCCTAAATTTCTCTGGTCCTAATATCTGTGAGCTACCTCAAATTTGAGTTTTAGTGAAAATTGTAGCATGAGTAAGTACATAAGTACAAATCCACTGCACTAAGAAAAATATAATGACAAACATAAACTTAACAAAACTTATAAAAACTATACTTGACTAAGAAAGTCTTTCATATGTCCTTAAGACTTGTACCACACAAAACACTTTTAGAATGCTGAAGTAAATCATAAATGCTCCTTCCTCAACCCATCTGAAAAATTTAATACTTCTGTTCTACATTTATTCAGGTCTCATAATCTTGAAAAACTTCTGTTATAATTCTTCAGTGATGGACAAAAGGCTCAAGGAGAATGTCATCCATTGTTTTGAAGACAAAGGAGATATATGTTTCAAGAGTACTTTTATATTCTGATCAAGAGAATTATCCCTCATGCTAGTATTTCATACTAAACACAACACAGGTATCATTACTATCCAGCTACTTCAAAATCTGAAGTTTAAGCTCTTCCCACCCCCACCTTTAAGGAACAATCTCCAGTAACCCAGAACTGATCCCTCTCTTCGCAGTACTTAGGACTTACATCATTTTTCTACCTTGTCTGAGTCTTCTTAACAGGCACCAGGAAACCTAGTTCACTATAAATCATAGATACACGCTAGGTTTATAAATGTGTTTGTTAAATCAGCTAGATTTCTTTGTTTCTGAGTTCTCATCAAAGTTCTCTTATCTACCCCAACAGGCACACTGCCTCATAAAGGCCTGCATACATAGGATAGCTCTTCTGAGTCTCTTCAGCTTAAAGTAATATTCATCAAAGATCCAACAATAAGGTCCCAACAAATGAGCATGCCCAAAAATAAAGCCTCAAGGAGATGGAAAAAAAAGCAGATGTGATAAATGTGGATGATAAGGAAATTTTATGTTTAAACTGCAGTAAAATCAAATGCTTTAGTGTGATTTTAAGACAAGCTGCAGATTTTCTCTGTTCAGTGGATTGTTTCTAGGAGTAAGCATTACAACCTTGGAAGTCTTGGTCACTTTGTCCTGCAGCATTTTTTCAGTTGATGCCAATGCTTCCATTGCTTCCCAGTTTTTCTCCCGAAGGTCCTAATCATTTTTAGAAAGAATGATTTCAGTTTATCTGTTATTGAAAGACTTGCTTTTCACTTCATCAGTATTTTGCACTGCATTTAAATGCTGGTTACTGCAAAATTATTTCAATGGGAAAATATGTATATTAGCAAAAAAAAAAAAAAAGCAATGTTTAGAAGTTTGAATGAGAAAAGAAAGAGATCTATTTTTCATGTTTTAGTACACATACCAAATACGCCAGAGTTTAAAATAATTACAGTGCTGTGTGGCGAAGAAAGCATTCAAAAGTAAACACATAAACCAAGATTACTAGATAATTTCAGGTACACCAAACATTAGAGGATTAAGAACGGAGTAAATATACAAGTACAGCAAAAAGCTCCCTTGTGTTTTTAAAACAAGGCCTAATATTGCTTGTGGAACTTTACGCTGCAGTGTAACACTTTTCCTTTAATTCTCTTTTAATAAAATCAACACATTTCCAATCTGCATAGGAATGACATGGTAACTCACTGTTTCTATGTCTTTCTTGGCATGGTCAAATGTATATGCCAACAAACAACCTGACACAAACTGCATGAGCTAGCTGATTGAGGCAAATAAGGAAGATGGGAAGGTATAAAATACATTCTCTTTGAGGATAAACGAAGGTCACTAAAAACAACTCTAAAAGATCTAAATTTTAACAATAATTCTTTAGCAACTATAAACAAAAACAATGCTCTATTTCAGACTTACTTCAGAATTAGAAATCTAAACATAAATGGGGACGACAATAATCCTCGTTTATTGAATGCTTACATGCCACATACTGTACGTGGCACTTCACAATTCCTCATTAATCCTTAAAACAAGTTATGAGGTATTTATTCTCATTTATAGATCAGGAAACAGGAGCTGAAGGTTAAAAAAATCTGGCCAAGGGTACACAGCAAATGAGTGGCAGAACTAGAATGGACTGACACTGCACCCTGCTGGCCTCCCATATCCTGACTCTTTCCACATGCTTCAGGGCCTCCAATGCTGCTGCTGCTGTGTTATACTGGCATTCCCATGCCCTCCTCATCTCAGAATCCCAACAATAAAACACATTTAAGATGTTAGCAGTATATCGGCGACTTCACCTCAAATTTTGTGGCTTAGCAATACTGTTAGTGGTATTATGCAACACAGAAAGGGCAATTCATGTACCTAATTTTGACAAACTCAGGGATGCAAAAAACTGTCAACTTGTTAAATTAACAATTTAACAAAAACTTTGAAAATTTTAACTTACATTAAAAAACACATATCCATTTATTATCAATATCTCCTTAGATTTCAACATTTTGGTCTTGTTTAAGACTTAGCAATCATACTTTTGTATGCAAAAATATCTTCTCTAGCAAAAATGTTTGCATTCTAGATAAAAGTTATCACCTTTTGTTAAGAGAAAATTTACAAAACTCACCTAAATTTACTATTTGCTTGATAAAAGTACTAGAATTTATAGTTCTTAAAGAACTGTTGCTTCCTATTTTAGTATAAATGTATTTAGATTCTAAAGTTTCTAACAGACGTAATTACCAAAACAGCACTACCTCTCAGTTTAAAAAGACAAGTTCCTGAAGGCTTGAACCTATTAGATTTGAGCATTGGATTAGTTTTAGTCCACAACAAAGCTAGCCCAATTAAAGAGGAAATACCTTTGATTTTAAAATACTGAGTTTGAAAGAATTACTTTTCCACATAATAGTTCAACACAAAGTCAAGTGTACTTTTAGTTTAAAAAAAAAACTCTGAAGTGTAATAATTATAGCTCTAATACTTCAAATGACATTCCTAAGTATAAAAATTGGTCTGTTCCACCTATTAAAAAAAATCTACTTTCCAATAAAATGATTACTCTCATAATACTCCCCAAAAAGCTACATAAAGATTAAGAAATCTAAAGTAAAAAGATTCAAAGAACAAAAATTCCTGAACCATCTTTCAATGTTGAAGTAATAAAAAGAAAAGCTTTATTCCAATAAAGATTTGCTTACATTGTTTTTCTTCCTCTGGTGCTCAACAGCATCCTTCAAAGTATCTAACTCATTCTGGAGACCAGTTATTTCTTTCTCTTTCTGTGAAATTCTAAACCAGAACACAAATACTTCTTTTAGGTAAGCAGCAATTTTATATGAGCAATAATACAACCTAGATACTGGGTAAATGATAATACAACTTAGATACCTACGTATCACTATTTGTTACTATAAAACAGTGTGTAGATGATGCTTTGAAAAATGCATTAACTTAATACCTTGTCTACTGTTTGTTAAATGAATTCTGAATTTCAGAAATGATTTTGAAAATAAGTTTGTGCACATAAAATGAACATGCTATATTCATGCTAAGAGAAATCTCAACCCATAGAAACCAGTTCATGAATATATTAACTGCTGCTTTTTTAATCTGAATCAACCTAGTAGCTATTTTCAGAGTGAAGTGGATACAGAGGTAGTCCTTGCAAACACATACTTTTTTTAAAAGATGGCAGTGAAATCTGTTATAACTTTAAGTGGCACCACAGGAAAAGTGTTTTGTTGCCATTTTCACCTAAATCTCAGGGTTTGTGAGCTTTGTTTTGTTTTTGCCCTGTACAATGATTTAGTTACTTCTCAGAAAGGCAGAACTCAATGGCAAGGATTCACGGTTCATTTTTCGGCTATAGGTCAGGGTGGCTTGTGTAGAAAGTTAAATCATACATAGCTCTGCCCTAAGAATAAGACTATATAAAAGCAGTTGGCACTAGGGTTGTTTACAAAGTTAAATCAAAGACAGCTATTTCTTGAAGGCTTATTTGAAGCATCTAGCAACAGAGTACAGCCATGTATACCCTTGATAGAAGAACAGCCTTTTATCAAGGAAGGTTGTCCTCTTTAACAGAGTACAAAACTTCAGGACACACAGGATGAAGAGAAAAGGGGGTCACTACCTAGCCAGCCAGATCAGCCAAATAAATCAATCCTGGCAATCAATGCAGTGACAGGTATCAGAGCCATATCATCCTCACATCCACACATAGTTATGGGGTTGCCAGCCCACAGTCTGGTATTTTTTCTTCTTCCTTTTTTTTTTGGTCTATGTGGCCCAGACTGTTCTCAAACTCACAGGCTTGATCATTCTGCCTCAGCATCTCATGCAGCTGGTGAACTGACAACACCCAGCCTGTTTTTATGTTTTATAAAGGGTTGTTTAAAAAATAGTATGAAACAAGAAAACTGTGACCCACAAAACCTAAAATACTCAATCTCAGGCCCTTTACAGAAAATGTTTGAAAGGGATGTGGATATTGTTCAGTGCTAGAGTGCTTACCTAGAAAATGTTTATAGCTCCTTCTTCATACATTCAATCTCAAGACCCAATTTAAACAGTAATAATCCTAACCTAGTAAATGACCAACTTTGTAAACAAGTCAAAATAGAACATTTAAATTACTTATATTACCTTTATCAATATATTTAACGTGACTGGCATTCAGCATTGTTGAAACATTCTATAGCTTATTAGAAATGACCTTATTAAATGAGCAGTCTTTTAGAGAGAACTCCAGGCTGACAAAAATGTTAACAATGGAAGGGCTAAACCAAAATTTGCATCATTCAATTGTATAATGAGACCCAGAATAAGTAAGATTCAGCAGGATAAATGAGGTAACTGAAGGTAAAGGAGTAAAGCCTTCAAAGTATAGTTTAATTTGATTATTTTCTGACTGCTTGAAAAAGAAAAAAATCTCCCTCAACAAAATATTCAAAGAAATCCAAATAGCATAAAAAGGTACGTTAAGTTAGCCAAAGGCACAACAAGCACTACTGACTTGCAGTTCAACACAGAACTGTAAAAATTAGTGAGCGTTCGAAGTTACATTTAATTGCTTCTCTGAGAACTACTTAGCATATAAAGTTACCACTTCCCAAATTGTGAATCAAACTTATTACTTACATTTTTATGAATTCTTCATGAGGAAAAGAAGATGCCTATTAAAAAGAGTCAAATGTTATTTCAAAAAAAAATTTCTAGAATACAACAAAATTAAATTGTCAGATATAAATTAAGAAAACACCAAACGTAAAAAAATCACATACTCCACATGCAAGCACCTTGACTTTAATCAAATGGTTTAATTATTAACATACACAAATTCACAAAATGTATAAATTCCAATCTTCAATGTCACTACAGAAACCCTTTACTTAACTTCCTACGTGCACAGCATTCAGGTAATACTTTAACTTTTATATTGCACAATTCATATTTCACTATATAAATTTTTTTGTTTTTTTGATGGGTCACTAGGGTTTGAAGTCAGGGCTTTGCAGTTACAAAGCAGGTGCTCTACTACTTGAGCCACACCTCCAGTCCATTTTGCTCTGGTTATTTTGGAGATGGGGTCTCAAAATATTTGCATGGGCTGGCCTTGAACCACAATCCTCCCAACCTTAGCCTCTCACAAGTAGCGAGGATTCCCAAATAGTTAGGACTACAGGCATGAAGCACTGGCACCCAGCTCACTATATAAAATCTTTAAGCCTCCAGAAGTCAAAAGATATTTAAATGAAATCAAAAGAAATTGAGTTTCTTCACACATAACAAAAAGTTAATTATGTAAAATATGAAAATGTACAGCCTTCCAACATGGTACTTATTTCTTAATGACTACCATCTCCCAAACTAAACTAGCAGACGTTGCTTACCAACAGGGACTCTTAACTCTTTGTCTCTCAAAATACATTCTGGTCTATCCATATGTGTTCAGAAATAAATATGAAAGAAAAGGAAAAGAAAAGAGAAAAACTGTGGATAATCTATCTTTTCTAAAAACCATTATTTTAAATTTTATTTGTACCCAGTAGAAATACTCCTTGAAATAATAAACAGTGGTAGACCATTACTTATAATATTATGTATTTGTTAGTTTCTCTCCAGTTACTGGTATTTTCTTTAGGGAAGGGAGAAACAACATATACATATACTGACCTATGTATAATTTTAACTAACCTGCTAAGAAAAGCATTCTGGAGGATCAAAAAACACACAGATAAGAAATAGAGCTGGAATACAGATAGTAATATTATTTATGTGTATTTTCATAAATAAATTGCTTTGTTTTATAGGAAATTGATAAACACCTATAGTTTATAAAGAAATTTTTATCATCAATGAAAATGTAAAAATGGCAAGGACATTTACAGCCACTGGTTATATTATTTTTTTACCACATAAATAAAAAGCAAGACATCCAACAGTACCTACCTGTTGGTAGTTCTGCTGCTTGAGCTGTTCAATTTGAGATTTAAGCAATTTATTTTCATCTTTTATCTCCTATTTAAACAAAAATTAAACATGAAAACCTGGACAGAGATTTTTTATTTTCTGAAACATATCATCTAGAAAAATTCAAACAGTAACAATTTTGAAAAGATATAAAAGGTCCTATATAAAATATACTATTCAATTATAGTTAATTATATTTAGTACTAGCCTGGGAGTCAGCATACCTCAATGGAACAAAGTAGTTTTCAGAAGCAGACCAATTCACCTGTAAGGATTTAGTATGGGGTGGAGGGGAGGGAACAGGCACAGCGGCTCATGCCTGTAATTCTACTTACTCAGGAGGATCATGGTTCTGGTTAGAGGCCAACATTGAGCAAAAAAGTTAGTGAGGCTCTATCTCAGTCACTAAAATTTGGGCATGGTGGCATGTGCCTATTATTCCAGCTACACAGCAAGTGTAAACAAGAAAATCATAGTCCAGGCCACAAATACAAGACAGGATTTGAAAAATAGCTAAAGGGGCGGGGCGGTCTCAAGCAGGAGAGCACCTGCCTAGCAAGTGTGAGGCCCTGAGTTCAAACCCCAGTACCATCCAAAAAAAAAGATAGACATGCATGCACTTACATGGAAGGATCTCAAAAAACACTGGTAGTGGGTGCTTTCTCAAAAGATATATCACCATTAACAGTAATAATTTGTGAGGAATGAGACCCAGTATATCTGGGTGAGGGGCTCTTCTGTATTCTATTTTCTCTTATGGTAGTTAAAACTTTTTTTAAAACACACAAAGACAATTTTAAGCAATCATAGTTACCTGCAACAGCTTTGTTTTGCTAGAAAGATCACTCTCCCTCTCTTTTAGCATAGCTTCTACTCTCTTCATTTCATATTCCTTTTCTTTCAACCTAGAATTTTTACAAAAACCTTATTTTACTAATGTACATTAAAAAAGAAAAACCAGACTCCAGTATCAGCCTTAAAAAAAAAAAAAAAAAAAAAAAAAAACCCACAAACAATGCCTACCAGCTACAGCTATAGCAATTTATAACTGTTTTCAAAGACAGCATTTCCAGGATCAATCTACTTCAAATTCAAGAATAACCTAAAATTGCTACAACTTATTTTACATTTAACATTTTTTAAGCAACTAACTATGGCTTTATCTAGGAGGAAACTCTAAAAACAAAGGTTAACAGTAAAATTATATTTCATCAGTCTGTTATAAAAATTACTACTTGAAAAGAAATGAGTTTTGCTCCCAAGACTCTTAGCCATAATTTACTGACCCCATAAATTACAATATCCTTGTCCTGAAAGGATGCTAAATATAATTTAACCTGGTACTCCCCTTTACCAATCTAGATGTAAATCTTAACTCAATCTATCCCTCATGAATCCCAATTGCCCTTGTTATTCTAAGCAAAAGACATCAAAGACAACCACTTAACAGTATTAAATGATCTGTATAACTACCTATTTCCTCAGAGCATAAACCCATTTTATCCATTTCCACATCCCTAGTACCTAAAAGTATGTAACAGATTCTCAGATACTTGCTTAATAGAATGCTATTTCTCCCACTTTAATCTAGCATTTTATTTATTTTAAATATGGGGCATGGCACTGGGGCTTGAAGTCAGGGCATTGCGCTTGCTAGGCAGGGCGTTCTACCACTTGAGCCCTACCTCCAGTCCTAATCTCACATTAACCTAGAAAAAATACCAAGACCCGTATAGGTACATAAGAAAAATATCCAAACAGCATACATGAACAGTGGGATTAAAGAATGAAAGAAAGGGTGAATTTAAATGAATATTGCTTAAGTGAAGGAAGCCTATCTGAAAAGACTACAGTCTGTATGGTTCCAACTATGACATTCTGGAAAAGGCAAAACTATGGAGAGAGCAAGATGATCAGTGGGTGCCAGGAATTCAAAGGGACTGGGTGGAGTAAATGAAGGGAGGGTAGGATGAAAAGGTAGCACAAAAAAAAAGCTATTCTATATGATGCTATAATGATGCAATAATATACTGTCATACATTTATTAAGACCTAGTGAACCCTAGTAGAAACTGTGACATTTACTTAATAATAATAAATTGCTATTGGCTCATCAACTGCAATAAATGTACCATAATAATGCAAGTTATTAATAATAGGAGGAATGGGGGAGGGGGTAAATGGGATATCTCTGTACTTCTGTTTTAATTTTTTCTGTAAATCTAGGACTGTTCCCCCAGAAATAAAATTTATTAATTTATTAAGAGGACAAGGAAAATGTAAGGTAGAAATAATCATAAAATTTATGATTTATATACCTACTAAAAAGAGACCACAAATGTGTCTCTAGGCTTTTGCTTAACAGAGGAGAGCAAAGCACCCAATTAGTTGTATAAATAAATGCATAATCATGGAACCAGGAAGATTCATCTGCCTTGTTTTCCTTAAGTTAAATGACCTAATAAATGTCTTCAGCACCTCATTCTTAAAGACATAATTTAAAGGAGCGACTTCTTAAATCAAACAATAAAAATTGATTGGCAGAATGCCAAAGAAAAATCCCTTAAAAATAATTCTACAGGGAACCAAAATGTGTTTCAGGATGAACATCTGCAAGGACTGACACCTCCTATGCTGAGTTAACATTTTTATTATTCAGCATAGAATAACAGTTCTATTTTCCCTATAAGCAAATACTATTATAGAAAGATTGAATATTCATTATCATTTTATAGCTAAGTAATCTCTTTACAATAATTGCATTCTTTGTTTTAAAAAACAACTTAAAGCTAGTTTATATTTATAGAAAGAATATTTGAGAAAATGGGTATGATAGGGTTAGAAAGGATAAAACTTTTGGGTATTTGAAAGCATCTAAAGGAAAAATAGAATTTGCTTCTGGACTATCATTCTGAACAATAAAGGTAATAACTTAGAAGGTATCAATGAATTTTAAGCACATTCTGGAAAATAATTTCTTTTTAAAAATGCTAGCTAAAAGTATACTTACACAACTTCAAGTTCTTCAAATTGTGATGGAGAACATGCCTAAGAAACAGATTCATATTTTAAATGCTAATATCAAAATAAACAAGATACCCTAATATAAACAGAATCACTACCCAATAAAAAATAAAATAAAATAAGGCGTAATTATGTGGTAAACTTAAGATTAGGCCATGTATAAAACAGTTTTCTCTATCAAACTTAAATTTTCATATTTATTTCCTCAACGATTTCAGATTAATACACCAACTAAACACAGTTAAGAATGAGCTTAGAGAAAAACATTTGAAAAAGGAAAGAGAAGGAAATGCTTCTAAGCTTAGGTTGACAAATCAGCAATAAAATGAAACTTGACAGGAATAAAAATTAACTTATTTTAACAATAACAACAAAACTATAGCACGACATGATTTTTCTGGCAAAGAAACTGAGACCATACAAGTTTCTTTACTTTTCAGTATACTAAATAAAGGTTTCTATTCCCTGTGTAGTACATTTGTGATTTGTTTACACTATACCTCTTGCAAGTTATGTTGGGCTACTTCTTGAGCATGTGCCTTTAAAGATTCATTTTCTTCTTGAAGATCCTTAAAAAGAATTAAGCGTAAATTGATATTCACATATTTAGGAAGCTGTTTTTTACTTTTATTTGTAACTTCTCACCTGTAGCCATTTCCCTGTATTAGCGAGGTCTTTCTCCTTCTCTTCTAAAACAGTCTTCATGGTATTCATCTGCTCCTCCTTTCCTTTTAATCTGACAATAAATTAGTAATGAAAACGTTAAATGACCATAAAATTTTAAAATACTCAAAGACTGGAAAAATCTATTTCAGATAGTTCTCACAGTCCAAACTGATTTAAAAAATTACTCTAAATACAAAAGCACACAAGTTCTGGACATATAATCAAATTAGAGGATATTGATGAATAAAGAAAAATGTCTGGGCTGGGGCAAAGCTCTGAGCTCAAACCTCAGTACTGGAAAGGGAAAGGAAAAAAGGAAGGAAAGGGGAAGGAGAAGAGGAAGGGAAAGGAAAAGAAAAGAATGAAAAGGAAAGGAAGAAAAAAAAACTGTTTTATAACTGACTGTTCTATCACTGAATACTCAAAAATATTCCAACTGTAAGTCAAGAAAAATGGTACGTCGTATCTGTTCTCCTTCCCACAACAACAAAAAAAAAAAACCAAAAAAACAATGGGTTAAAGCATAATGAAAAACTTAAAAACTTCAAGGCCTTTTGAAATATCTTCTAAAATACTACTTGAAATCATATAGAAGCTATGATTTTCATTATGTTTAACATGTGAAAAAGTTAATGAGAAAAATGATACTCACAAGTTCTGAAGCTCGTGAACTTGAGAAGTGATAGATAACTGAAATACAAAGGACAGAAAAAGCAATAATCCTTTAATTTACCTTATTAAGCTTTATAATGTATACATTTCAAATTACAAAGACCCTAGGTTAAGTTTTTCATGCCAAAATGAGAAGTGTTTTGGTTTTGCTTTCTCTTGACTCTAATGACAATAAGGGTAATAAACTAAAATATAACAGAGAGGAGAGGAAAAGACAAGGAAGATGGTTTCAAATAAGTGTAAATAATGTGATTGTCCTACAATTGTGATAATTAAGAGTATTAACTAACTCTCCACATACTTCCCTACATTAACAGAACTCTTCTCCAGCCCAGTTTTCAAGAACTACTACTCAATGGTATGCTTTACTGTCCATCCCTAATCTCTCTTTTACTAAACCATACACAGTCTAATAGTACCTCTTAGCCCCCATTCTCTGCCCACAGCCCCTTCGGATCTTAGCTTAGATCAGCTCTTCAGGAGGAGCCTCTTCTGAACTCTCAATTGCTCAACACATTATCTTCAGTCATCATTAACGCAAGACTGTGGTAAGTAGGAGGAACTCAATAAATATTGTTGAATGGATCTGTCATATGAATGAATCTCTTCCATGCAATCCTCACCATTTTTCAATGAAGATTAAATGTAATAAAAACCCATTTACTTCTAGAAAAATAAAATAAAACCCATCTACCTCTAGAATCCCCCAGTAAAACTTATATTTTGTTCTACCAGCTGAGGTTGAATAATACACAAACTACAACTAAACACTCCAGTCCATTAGGTTTGTGTTTGTTTTCATACGGGGGAATTAAAAACAGATTTACCAAAGTGTTTTGTTTCTTTTTATTTAAGTTGGTAAACAAAAATAAGCACTAATTCAGAAAACTTTCCAAGAAAGGACATTAATTAAAAGTTTTAAAAGATATGCAGATTATAATAGCAAGGAGACTTTCTCAAATCAGGAAAAAAAAAGAAAAGAAAAAGCGCATATAACCCAATATACTTACAGCATTAAGCGATTTGTTTTCTGAGTAACAAGGGAAAAAGGAAAACTAAACAGCTTATAAATAATACATATACTAATAAATCTATCATGCTATGGCTCTGGGATTGTTACCTGTTGAGCCTTTTCAAGCTGGACATTTCCTATTTCTTCTTTTAGAGCCTTTATTTCCTGTTTCAAATCCTTGACAATGACAAAACAGACAAGATTGGACAATGGAAACACAGAAGTTGACAAAAAAAATGCAATGCACAGACAAACACATGAAATTAAATGATATTAACTAAACTTGATAAACAGAAAGCCACACAAACTGTTCTCTCTCTCCCAATACCTGAATAGTTTTCTCCTTATTAGCAACTTTGAGAAGTTCAACTTCTAGAAGCTCTTCCACAGACTTGATCTTTCCATCTTTCTCATGGATCCTTAAGTAAACAAATGAAGTATTAACCTGAATAGAAATCACCAAGATCTACCAAATAAAGTTAAAAAAAAAAAAAAAAAAAAGCACCAAATCACAGGAAAGTACTCCAAATCAACTCCTTCCTATTTTAAGTAAAACAGCAGCAATATTTGCAAACAAAAGTGGAAAGGGCAGGGGGATGCTTAAAAGCTCCTCTAAGATGAAAATTCGTCAGTAACTATCAGATGGTTAAACTCTAGGCACACAAGAAGGTGATGTGCTTCAAAAGTCCCTGAGGAATGTAAGATTTGTAGCATGAAGGACATAGAAAACAATCAGGTTTCATTCAATAATAATAAACTTCCAGGGCTTTGAAAGCTGTGGCACAACTTATAAACAGTTACAGCATTAAATTTTACAGACACCTCAAGAACAGGATACATGCAAGGAATTCTTTAACAGCTCCTGCTGCAACACAGAAAAGTGGCAATTTGATAACCACATGAAAAGGGACTCAATTATGGAAATGGATTTTTTTAATAAATCACGTTGAATTTGGGAGTACAGCTAACTTCCCTTAGTCCATTAATGAAATATTCTAGAGTGAAAGTTAAACTACTGTATATCAGCTATCCCATCAAAGCAGTGAAACTAGATTTATGAGTACTAAAAATAGGCCACAAGAAAAAGGCCAGTTAATGTTATCACTTACACTTTTTTAAGTTCTTCAACTACAGATGCAAAAGAAACCTGAAAAAGAAAGGTACCTTACTTTGTAATTTTCTCCAACTATGAATGGGTCAGAAATAGAAAAGTACATAACCCCTATATTTGCCACCATACCACAGTTCGAATGAAAAAAGCAAACCCAGGAATTCTTTCTAAATATTTTTAAGTATCCTGATGAAAATCGGTTAACATTTTGTAAGTAAGCAGCTTTAAAGATACTTACAAGTGTAGGCCTAAAGAAAAATCACTAGATAAATGTTTAAATTATTTAATTAACAATTCCAACCAGATGAAAAAACTACAACTAGGAAATTTCCTCATTTCATGTAGACTCTTTTGCTATTAGTCCTAATTTATATGTGTATACTCAAAATCTTTTATCACTATGGTAAAAAGAAGCAACAAAATCTTATCTGGTATAGTCTACATAGTACCTGGCATGCAGTCAGTTTACAATAAATGGCAGCCTCTATAGTGACCATAAAATCACTGCTCATTCACTGACTAAAGCTGTACTTGAAGTTTCCCCCAGGAGCAGAAAGGGATGGGCGGCAGCTGCAGTGTGTTATGTAGCCACTCTGCTCACTGTTAAGAGAGAACAGTTGCTGGGTCTGCTATGCACATTACCTGATCATTCTGCTTGGCCTTCAAGGCCTGAACTTCTTTCACCAGGGTTGAGTTTTCTGTTCTCACAGCCTTTTTCAAAGACACATAAGCACAACACACTTTTATTTTCTGAAAAATTAGCTAGCTTCAAAATATAGTAGCTTCTTATTTTTCTTTAGGTAATTCTTTTACTTTATGGAAGGCCCCCAAATCTTTCTTCTTCCATGTCTACAGCTCTGTACTTCTACAGCAAATCAACTGGTTTTTTAATTCAATTATCCCCAAACATATTTCTGCTTACATTTCCATAACATCAAAAGCACACAGTGTGCCACTTGTCAATAGAGCCATGGCCCTCTCTAAATTCAAACACACCTTTACAATTACTCTTCCCAGCAACCCTGTTCATATCAAGTTAATGAAAATGATAGTAACAATAAAACAGAACTCCACTTTTCTTTCTCTAACCTCCGATACTATTTTATGGAATTAGGAGGTCTGCTAGTAATCATTTGGTTATAATTTTAATATAGGTGCAAGTGAGGAAGCATGTATTACAAACTATAATAACCCTCATTAAGACACTGAATGCCACAATCAACTATGCATTTTCTATTTCTAAAGAAATCTTATTTAAATGTAATGAAAGAGGACATTTTATAAACTTATATAACTACTATTAAGTTTAAGAAGTATAGGAAAACCTTATACAATTACAACAAAACCCCTTTGTGTAAATGGAATAAGTGTAAGGAAAACAAACTATAAAATGCTTTACATTCAGTTCCTCCTCTTTAGTAGCCACCTGAATAAGTCCAGTTTCAAGTAATTCTTCTACAGTCTTTAATTTCTCATCTTTTTCTTGAATGCTGAAATTAGAAATTTTGAACATAAGGTCAAGGTAAATAATTATCATTCCTACATATTTTATACAAATCAACCCCTCTGTCCATTCTTCCTTACAAACTCTTAATTCTACAAAGGTTTATTCAGTCATGTCTGAGGGTGCTTCTTCCTGACCAGTTAAGTGGAACACGCTCAGGCAGTGCATGCTCACCTGCAGCCTAAACAAGTCCATCAACCACCACATGACACCCACTAACCATAACACAATCCCAGCTAACCCACAGCATACCACACCGCTCTACCACATGGTACAAAGAGAACTTGGGTTAGGTTAATGTATTCTTAATAATTATTTTATCTCAAATTGGCAGAAATGAGCCATTAAGGTATAGAAAGGAAAAGTTAAACTCTTACCATTTTTCCATTTGTTCCACAACATCTTTATTAGGCTAAAATTTAAAAATAAAACAAAACAACAACAACAACAAAAAAAAAAAAACACCAAAACAAGTTTAATTCCACTAAGTTTGCATGAGGTAAAACTAGTTTAGAAATAACTACTTACAAAATACAGCAAATTGCCCTGTAATTTTGCTAATTACAAAATTAATTCAAAAGAGAGGCATCTATATACAAAGGACACAGAAAAAAAATGTATATGGGGCTAGCAAAAAATATGAAGAAACTTATAAATAGTTTTAATCAATACAAAAGATAACCTTAACATGAGTATGAGAGAAATTGCTTCAATACCCTTGTTCACTGAATATAAAAAAATCCAAGACCCTAAGATCTGGCAAGACAGAAGAGCCTCTGGTCTTTCTTTTTTTTTCCTAATTGACTTTTTTTTTTTCTGTACTAAGGTATAACACTTACATAGGCAAATGCACAAATCCTGTGTACACCTTAATGGACTCTGAATATGTACATACTTTGTAACTACCACCCAGACCAAAACACAGACTATTTTAAAGGTGCTTTAAACTGCAGAAGCAATACAAACGCATCTGTTTATAAACATACAATGTGACACGCAAGTGGTCCCTCTTTAGCCCTCCTCCTAGGATCCCCCAGTGCATACACAAGTCCCCACTGCTGTAATTCCATGGCTGTCTGGAAGCAGGACTTCCTCATCATTCACAAAGCTTTAGGCAGCTAAGTACCTAACCAGAGAAGTGTGAGATCTTTCTCCCTGAACATTCTCTACTATTCATCTCTTCTCCCACACCCACTCATGTTATCTTGCTGCTTTCCTAATTTGTACCAATCTCATTACAACCATTTTTCACAAATAAAACTAATTTTTCAACTGTCAAATTCAAATCTTATGATTCCACATTTTACGTATTCCTAAATTAAATGCCTTCTCTTCAGCGCCTAAACTTAGGTCCTCACAGTTTTACTCATCTCAAGTACCACAATGTCCTAATTCTCCCTGCTTCTAGTTCATGATTACTTTGTGAGGGGCACACAAAGAACAAAAATTGTCCCGCCATCAAAAGAGAGACAGTTGACGTCCAAAGTTCATTAAACTGAGTTTATATGTAAAAACAAATCATGTAGTAAGTTTACAAACCTTTCATGAAGATGATTAATGTCCATCTTTTTTATTAATGCCATGTCATAAAAACACTTAGTATTTCCAAGTACATAGTTACCTGCACCTAATTATTTGTCTTGTACTTTTAGTCAATCCTACCAACTCTTCCCTCACACAACTGCAAATACCTCATCGCTACCAGTATCTTTCTAAAATGTTAGAGTAAGTGCTCATTCATCCTTTGCAATATCCTTCAGTGTTGGATCAGGATAATGATCCTTACAAAGTCCTTAATAATTAGGTACTAGCAAACCCTTCTCTACTCCCTAATTGTTATATCTTTCACTAGCAGTAACAATAAAACATGCCAGAAAAGAAAACACCAAAAAAAAATTTTTTTTTTTGGTCTGCCAAGATGAAAGAGGTCTAAATTACATCCAAAAATATCACAGTTAACAAGCCTTCTATTTTTCTTTTTTTAATTTCCAGAACTACAATAACAATTTTAAGAATTACCCAACAGTGGGTTTTTGTTGTTGTTGTAGTACTGGGGTTTGAACTTGAGACCTGTGCTTGCTAGGCAGGTGCTCTACCACTTGAATCACACCTCCAGCCCTTTCTGCTCTAAATTATTTTTCAGATAGGGTCTTGCTTTTTGCCAGGGCTAACCTCAGACCATACTCTTACAGTACCTCATATAGCTGGAATGACAGGCATACAACACCATGCCTCGTTTATTTTATTAAGATGGGGCTTCAGCTAACTTTTTGCCTGGGCTGACCTGGAACTTCGATTCTCCCAATCTCTGCCTCCCAAGTAATTAGGATTACAAGCATGAGCCACCATGCCTAGAACAACAGCAAATCTTAAATTAGTACCACAAATTGAGTTTCCTCTCTTATCAAATAATTCTTTTAAATAAATCCAAACATGTGGCTATGAAATTTCATTCTGAAAACATTAAAAAAAAACCTCCATCTAATATTAAAAGTTGTCATTTAACAGAGCTTCTAAGAGTGTACAGAAAACAGAAGGCAGACTTAATAAGATGGAAATAAGAGAAAAAAATTTTAAATACTTACTTCCACAAATGTGATAGAGAACATCACATAAGATATTAGAATGCAACTTTTGGCTGGTGTAATGGTTCAAGCATTAAGAGCACCTGCCTAGCAAGCTTCAGGTTCTCTGTTTAAATGTAGTAAAAGTTGCCAGCACCTGGATACTATTAATGTACAGGAATTCTAAGACAGACTGAGCAGTTTCTAGACATTTGTTTTACACCCATGGTGCTAATTTTAGAATGCTTAAAACTTTATATATTGAAATAGATGCTTCAAAATCTCTGGCAACTAACTCAGAAATTACACTCTACTTTTCAGAATAAGAATTAACACACACACACAAAAGAGAAACTTGCATATTATCTAATCCAAGCCAGCAATGTGTTATCTTCCAACTGATACTTAACACAAAAAAATTTTTTAAATGCTGTCAGACAAATTATAACCAAAGACTACAAAATACATCCAGATTTCAAAGATAGTAATTGGGTTGAGGGCTTTTGGGGAGGAGGAAAGATGGGGCAGAACTGGGGTTTTAACTCAGTGCCTAGATCCTGCCCAAGTGCTCTACCACGTGAGCTACACCCCCAGCCCTTCTTGCTTTTAGTTATTTTTCAGATAAGGTCTCCTGCTTTTTTGACCTGGCCAACCTCAGACTTCAATCCTCCTACTTCAATCCTCCTACCTATGCCTCCTGCCTAGATGGGGTTACAGGCACATGGCACCATACCTGGCCATACGGTTATCATTGATGGAATGTCGTTTCTTTCATAAGATACGACAAGCACAAGAAAGAGAAATAAGATTTAAGAATAAGATTGAAATACTGTTTAAACTAAATGTCCCTTTAACATTCTCTCCTCTATTATTTTTAGTTTGCAAGGGTAAAGAACAAACAAAGTAAAAAAGGTTATGCAAAGGACTTAATGGGGGGGAGAAGTGAATTCTATCTTAACAAGTAAAGAGGATGTTAACAAAATTCTTTGAGCAGCACAGCTACTTATATTTGCATAAATGGGAGTATTAAAATGGGAAAGAACGTATGCATCTGCTAAAGAAATATTAGTATTTGTGATACCTTACATTTCAGCTTCTAATAAAAGTATATTCCAAAAACTTACTATAAGGGAAATGTGTTGTAATATCAAGAGTTCCAAGAATACTTTTTAATAAGAGAAATGTATGCAGACAACACTTAGTAGAAGCTAGACAACAGACATCAAAGGGTGCTAGTTTATGGGGCAGTGCTTATTTAAAGCTGTTGTAGTTTTAACAGCTTGCTATAAATATAGTAAGAAGAGTGACAGCATAAGAGGATAAGGATGATAAGGGGAAAAAAATAACATTCCAAAAGAAATGATGGTTTAGATGGCTTCACTCTATATGTGAAGCACTAGGCTAAGCAGCATAGGCAAGCTTCCCACTTAAATCTAAGAAATATATGCTATAAAAGTATAGTCTTAGTGTGAAAGACTTGCTTTTAAGTACTAGTATTAGGTTTCAAACCCATTCTCCCCTGGATGAAAAAGTTGAGGCTCCAAAAGTATAAACAAAACTTTTATCCCTACTACATTTTTTAAGTATTTATGAGATTAGCTATAACATCATCTCAGAGAAGATTTTCTTTAATTTAGAAACTTGATAAGCACAAAGGTAAACAAATGCAATTTTTATATATGTATATATAAAAATTATATACATCTCTCTATATAAATTATATACTTATATATATATATTATAAATACATATTTTATATAGAGATGTATATATATATATGTATTATGTATTTTTTACAGTATTGGGTTTTGAACTCAGGGCCTCGTACTTGCTAGGCAGGAACTCTACCATTTGAGCCATACCCCAGCCCTTAGAAATGTAATTAAAAAGAACTCTCTAAGCTTAAGCAAAATTTCTCAACTAGTAAGGTAGTTACTACTTAAGAAGAGCCAGACATTATTATATATTGAATAGTTTTATATTATAATTCATGAAAAGCCTTACCTGCTCAGAAATAAGAGTCTGTAGCTTCTGAACTTCTAATTTTAATGCTTTGTTTTGGTCATTTAGAATCTAGGAAAAAAATTCAATTTATTAGCTGAATACTTTTTTCAATTTAATAATTTTTAATAAATTCTTCATTTAATATTTTTTAGGCACAAATGCAATCATTTGAATGGGTTTTTGAACAACCAAACCCGTATTATTGGTTTAAGTGCTCACCGAGTCCGTAAGAACTCAGATCTCACTCTACACGGATATACACCCTTGCAACAGTACTCAAAGTCTCTAAGTGTAGAAATTAGACTACAGCAACAGTGAAAAACAGTCACAAATATAAAATACAAGCACAAAACTGCTAAAGAAAACTGGGTGCAAAGTAAATCTCAAAAATGTGTTATAAGAACAGCCAAGCTAGAACCTAGGCAAGAAGTCTATGACAAAATTCACTATTTTCATAAGTGTCCAAATAAACCATGAAACATTGTTTCATAGTGACTTCATTTAAAAAAAAAAAAGTCTAGATTTTTCTACAACTGAAAATTACGTAAGTTTGTTCCAAGAAAGCTGAGTATGCAAGCTTAATCACACACCTTAAATTCTTCCATTTTGTTTGAAATTTCACACTGTAGCTGCTCTTCAAGCAATTTTATTTTATCGTCCTTGGCATGAATACTATAAGAAAAAAGTATCAATTAAAAATACTTCATACATTCAGAAAGCTGAGTATGTGCACAACTATCAATTATAAACAGCAGTACTTTCTGCAACAATTGCACTTGAACATAAATGCAGGAGTATCTCTATGTACAACAATATTTTAATCACCTTTTTTGCATCTTCTCCAATTCATGTGCTGCAACAGCCTGTGTTTGGAATAAAATGAGAATTTTATCACATCTCAGGAAGCACTGAAAACTATTCTTTCACTTGTTTTTGCATATTACTGTTTTCACACATTTGGAGTAAAGTGATAGCAACATCACATATTTCTGTGATATGTTTCGCTGCCCAACATTGTAGTCAACTTTTATCTTAATAAAAGGTTTGTCCTCTTTACGCTAAATGGCAGAAGGCTAAAACACACCTGAACATACTATTTTAAACTTATTTCTGATGTTTAACAAATAATTTATTGAACAAAACATTAACTTCAACATGAAATAGTTACATCTAAGTAGGCTGTGAGGAAAAGGCTTTCAGAAACACAACCACAGAAAACTACAAGTAACATCTGTAGTTTTTAACTACACAAATAAAACTGGGGCTCACAGAACAGACAAATTAAAACTGAGGTAAATGCTAAAGATCTACCTGTTCATTTGTCAGAGCCTGTAATTTCTGCACTTCAGCTTTTAATAAGAAATTCATATTCTTTATATCCTGGAGCAAGGAAAAAGAACACTGTATTACAAATATTTAATATAACTGACTTTGAAACTTCTAAGACATCTGCATCTTTTCTACCAAAGAGTCAGGCAAAGGTCTCAAGTTACAAATTTCCTAAGAAAGAGACATTATAAATTCCTTTCACTTAGCAAATTTCCCAAATTGTTGTGAATCATATCATGTGAGAAAAGCCCTTTAAACTTCTCCTCTTAAAGCTAAAGAGGACTTTATAATTTAGAAAAGAGATGCTAACATTTTTTAAATGACTTCCAGAGTACTTTCCATTCTTCATGTAAAATACTGATAAGGGTGACTATGACAATGTATTTTCTACACATGTATGAATGTGGAACACTGAAACCTGTCGAAGTCACTTTAATAAGGGGGAAGGGAAACAGGAAGAATAATGGAGTGGATGAACCAAACTGGGTTACATTATATGCATATATGGAAATGTCACAACGAAACTCCCTGTGTAACTATTATAAACTAATAAAAATATTTTAAAAATTTTTTAACAAAACAAAATACTGATTATAAGATCAGGATAATTCAATTTCAAGTTCCATAAAACATTGCAACTATTTATAAGAATTTCTATACCTTAAGTTCTTCCTCTTTACTTGTTAAGTGGTCATGTTCATTTGCTAAAGAATCTTCAGTCTCTTTTATCTGCTTATCCTTTTCTGCAATCCTTTAAAAGGAAGTAATTTGTGCTCTTAATAAACACTAGAAGTCATTATCACAAATCAGAGGAGGGTCATCCTTACTTAAGAAGCTTCTTATTAATTGTGACTCCTATTTCTATAGTCCCTTTTCATTTTACTAATAACTATCATAAGCATTACTGAAATTCCTCAAAATACATGCTACCATTTTAAAACTCAAGGTCAAAGAAGTTAATTTATGCTCACAAGTCTGGCAATGTCAAAACCAGATTTCAGGGCTTCTAAACTCAAGTGATTTATGCCTATGTAAAATACAACACAAAAGAATACATAACTTTGAATATACTACCTATTATCACATTATCACACAGGGTAGTGGAGCACTTGTTGGATACAAAAACTAATTTACTTCCACCACTCTCAAATACAATTACCCCGTCCACATAATTGCCAAAACCCCAGATGAAGGAACATTTCCAAATCTTTTTATAATGAAAAAATAAAAACAGAAAAATGTGATGTTTAGAGACCCAAAAACAAACTACAGGGGTGGGGGGCATGGATGAGGATATAAGCAAAAGTTGCTCTAAATCTAGTTCAGAGTATTTTCCAAACGGGTCAGAATATAAAGCTAATCACAGTGTTGAATCTAGCAAGTATCTGTTAGTGGTGACTACACAATTGTAAGAGAAGTGTGGAAAGGCAGGCTTACACTTTATGTAATTCTTCTGCTAGAACTGAAGCGGAGGTCTAAGAAAGAAAAACATCATCAACATAAAAGCATTTGAGAGAAAGCTTAAAAGCATAAAAGTCATCAAACAGAGCTTGGAAAACTAAGAGAAATTAATGTATATCAAGTTTTTAAGGAAGTATCTGTCCCATGTGAGTGTTCAATAAAGAAAAGCTATCAATCTGAAAGCAAATATGATCACCAACAAACAGCCTGTATTAGGGATTACATATCAGAGGATATTCAGGATAAAACAAATTGCCAGACCTGGAAACTTCATAACTGAAGCAACAAACACAAAGAAAACAATAGCGTGGTCTAAGTAATTTCAGATAAATGTCTGAGAGCTATCTTTCAGATGACTAACAATCTCAACCCAATTTGATATAATTCACACACACGCAAAATGCCTTTCTTACATTAAATAATACCTTCTCAATTAATTTTAGGCAATAGTCTCTACAAAGAAATCAATTAGGAAAAAACTGCTTACATTCTCAAAGCTTTTACAGTTTGAACTTGACTAAACCCTAAATACAAATGTTTAATCTTAAAGCCACTTTTTACAAAGAAAAGTCGAATTTCTAAGCTAATACATTTTGCTACAAACAACTTTCACAATTTTAAAGTTGAACTGACATTCAAATTAATAGTACACATATAATGGAAAATAACAGTACATATATATACTTAGAAGTTTTCACTTTTTGCTTAATGTTATATCATTTATATTCTAAAATCTACCTACCAATCAATCTATTATGTCATAGACAAAATGTTGCCAAAGAATAACAGATCTTATAATACCATTTTTAAAAATTGGGAGCATTTACCACTATCTAAACTAAAGAATAATTTTGAACTGATTTTTTTGCAAATATAATCTGATAACTACAGGTATATGAGGTTTTTCCACATTAGTCAATATTTTGTGAACACCTTTAATACATGAACCACTATTCAAGACACCACTTGGCCAGTTCCTCTTGTTTGATGACAGGCACTTTTTACTCCTATGGTTAAGAGCTAACACCCTCCTTTCCAATTAACTGGATTTGGATTTCTTAGTGTTTTCCCATAGCACTGTACAGAGAACTTAGGATCACCATTTTTTGGTTCACTGACACGTAGATAATTGTTTAAATGGCTGGGAAACAATGAGAAAACACCATTACCTGGGCTGCTATCTGGGAATGAAACTGTTGAATTTGAGCTTTCAAAGCCTCATTCTGCTCCAAAACATCCTTTCATAAACAGCAAACAAAAAGAGGGAAAAATTGTGCAGTTAATAAATATCCAAATGTACATGAACACAGTGACTTATAGATTCCCTGTTTATCTTTAAAAGGGCATCCTTAGATTCTAAAAGGTCTTATTTAAAATAGTGACTAAGCATTGAATTTTGAGTTAATTTATAAGGTTCAAATTAAGAATACATTTCATTATTTCTCATCTACCACAAAGGGCCTACAACTGTGGATGACCACACCCATAAACACAATAAACTGGGATAAGTGCTCACAAACTAAGTTATAATTATTCACCACCAATGCAGAATTAGCATAAGGTATATCTTTGCTCTCTTCTAGACACATACATGTAACCCTTTATTTTTGAAAAGAAGGAAAACAGATACCTGCACTTGCATTTGTAGAGACTCTTCTTTGCTCACCCTTTTTTGCTCCGATTCCATTAACTGCATTAATCTTTGCTCCAACTGTTGTTTTGACACCAAAGTATCTGTAAGCTTACTATGCAGACTCTGTACTTCATTTTCTTTGGCCACAAATTTACTCTGTAAATCTGTAGCAAAATATTACATCTTACAAAGGTCTCTTCCTTCACCTAGTTCATTCCTTTGCCTAGGTCTCTTCATTTGTCTAAGCACTATCTCCTCTAAAAAATTTTCTCAGATCTCTCCACTTCCCCTTTTGCATGCTACCTCAACAGCCTATCCTTGCTTTATCACAGCACCTGTCACATTGTAGTAATTCATTTCTTGTCCTACAGTGAGCTTTTTAAGATCAGAGATTACTTTTTCTCTATATCCAGAGCTATACCCAAAATTTGGCACCACACTACATACTCAATAAATGTGTTAACTGAGTGGTATATGCACTTAAATAAAAAAACTATCATATAATTTCCTGAAAACACTCTTTATTTCCCCAAAGATACTTTACTGAAGTTATTTTAGTGAATTTCTTATAAATTCCCTGAATTCTGCCACCTCAAAATACTCTGCTACACGGAAAGATACTAAAGAAATCTATTACCTGAAGACTGAAAAACATCCCAACATTTTAAATAGGTTAAGTTTTCTGTCTGCTCCTCCTCTTAGAGATAACGCCAAAAGAACAAGAAAAAAGAAAAACAAATACAAACAATCTTAACTTCAAGTCACAATAAAGAAAAAGTGAATGTAAAGATTAGTGATTGCTAACTTGGCAAAGAGGAAATCCCTGTCAAATAAAGAAAGGCTAATGTCACGTATCATGAGAGCTATCTGTCCCATATCATAAACAAGTCCAAAAGGGGGAAGCAGGGGAAACCATCACCACAGATAGAAAGACAATGCAGGGAAAAGTGGAAAATGTTTATGTGTGTGTGTAAATGTGTGCCTATATTCACAACATGATGGCTCCTGCCTGTTATCCTAGCTACTAGGGAGGCAGAGATCAGGAGGATCACAATTCAAGGCCAGCCCAGACAAAAAGTTCGTAAGATTTTATCTCAACCAATAAAAGCTGGGTGTGGTAGCACACATCCGTCAGCCCCACTATGCGGTAGCTTAAGAAGATCGCAGTCAAAGCCAACCTCGCAATAAACGCAAGACCCTATCTCAAAACGAACCAAAGCATAAAGAGCTGGGGACATGGTTAAAGTGTTAGAGTGCCTTTCTAACAAGCGCAGTTCTACCACCACTACCCCACTCCCCCACCAAAAAAATAAAAATAAAAATACAGGAAAACAAAAGAGAACTCCTGAAAATTAAACACATGCATATTTGGGATTAAAACTCAGTACAGTGTAATTTCTTATCACCAATGGTAAAAGTTAAAACACTGAGTTAAATGCCTTCAAAGTTCTGTAGAGGAAGGCTGGTAGAGTGGCTCAAGTAGGGGAGTGAGTACCTGCCTGGGAAGTGTGAGACCCTGAGTTCAAACCCCAGTACCACAAAAAAAAAAAAGAAAAAAAAATGTTTAAAAGAAAATTCTGTAGAGGAAATTATTTCCAACTTACAACTTCACATCCAGTAAATCTACCAATCTACCAGTCAAGTATGAAGACAGAATAAAGACAGGATGCTTTGAAATGCATAAGTCCTCCACAAATGTACTTCTAGGCATATTCTAGTACAGCTACTCAAAACATACTTTAGTAAACACAGGAGGAAAGCAAGAAAGATGGCAGCGATGTAAGATCCAGAAAGGCAGAAAGACAAAAGCACATCTCAGAAAGATAGCTATGGAGCCAACCTGGAAAGCAATAAGCACTGAAAAAACTGAAGACTCCAGGAAGGGTACTGTCTAATATCTAATATGTTGAGAGGTGTAAGGTGTGAGGAGTAGGTTAAGAAAATTTTAACCAGACATAAAATTTTAAACAATAAAACAAATACCAAGGAGGCAATAAAGCAGTAATTAGCTCCAGGAAATAAACAACTGGTAAAGGAAAAGAATCAGTTTTAACATCTAACTTGACCCAGTATCCCACTGGACAATCACAATGATATAAAAAAGTGAGTATTGATATAATCAAAAAGTATGGGGTGAACTTGTTCAAAGTATACTGTACACATCCATCTATGGAATAATGATGAAATCCTTTGTACTATTAATGTATGCTAAAAGTTTTCAACAAAAAAAAGAATGCATAACCACCATCAGGACAGTGGGAGACAGGTAGGAAAACTGATGTAGGAGTTAATACCCTTATTTTCTGTAACAGAAAGTCAGACTTCTATTAACAGACAGCAGTATAAGTATCAATATTATGTTTGTTTAGAAGTAGGAAGTAAAACACTAAAAGGAAAAAAATTTACAGTGACTGCTTCTGATTAAGAATAAGATTTTACTATCTATGGTTATATATGTTATAGTTATAATTCTTTTAGCAGAATGTCTGTGCTTCACCAATGAAACACAAAGTATTAATTTAAAAAAATAAAGTGGTATCTTAATATAAATAAAAACTTTATATAAAAAAGCAACAGGTCTTGAAATATCTTGTGTACGTTTAGATACTGAACAAGACAGCTATTTCAGTGGAGGGGGCATCAGAGGAAACCAAAAGTCTACTAAGCCAAAATTCCATCTATCCTACTATTTGGAACTATATTCTAATTAGCACCCTCTTCTGTGGGAAAAAGGGAGTAGTGGAGACATAAATGGGACACCCATTACAAGCGCCATTATCTCCCAGACAGATCCACCAAATTATGAATAAGGGAATAGTAAAAGTTAGCATTTATTAAGTAGACAGTTCAAGTAAGCTTCTTGGGAAGGTAATACTCTTACTATTTTTCTCCTCACAACATACAAGTGAATCTTTTCTTAAAAAAAGAAAATAAAATGAGGAGTTAATCAAGGAAACCAAAGGGGAAAACTATAGAGAAATCATCTACACCCAGGCTCCCATTACCCTATTATGTGCTACAATTTTGCCTCAACTTAATACTTTAGGGAAAGCTAGTAGGTTGCTTATTTATTTATTTACTTACTTATTTCTTTATTGTTGTGCTGGGGATACATTGTGACACTTACAAAAGTTCTCACAATATATCATAGTTAAATTCACCCCATCATTCTAATCCCCTCTTCCCCCATAGGTTGCTTATTTAAAACCACAACAAATGTCAAAGAAGTAAAGATGATATGAATGGGCAAAAGCTATTTTTATTGAGCTATAACCAAAATGCCAAATTAACTTTCTTTAGAGATGGAGCAGGGAGGAAATTTTACCTATAGTACCTTAATGCCTCTTCCCTTACCTTTCTGTGCTGCCTCATGTTCTGCTGTTCTCTTCCTAATATAGCTTTGAACTTCTTCCCACCTCCTCTCAGCTTCTTGTAGCTGAACCTTGATATTTAAAGAGAGAAAGGATAAATCAAACACAAGATTTCAACTTTTAAAAAAAAGCATCCTCTACCTGTATTGTCATAAAAGTGCTTGCTGTAACTCATCTCCTACATTTTAATAAGATGAGCAGACAGTTATCTTACAAGCTACAGACATCCTCTCCTCCAATACAGAGGATTAACAGATTGGAGATTATTTCAGAAACTCAGTATTTGTACTTTTAGATCAAGATAGCTACCACTATGTACATATCCAATCCATTTAGCAATCACCTGTTTTCTATTCATCTTTCTTCGACTGTAAGCTTCTAAACAAGAATTGTATCTTTGTTGCTAAATCTGAGTACGTGAGATTCCTATTTTGAGGTATATGTATTGCACAACACTCCAATATGATCATTAATCTTAAATGGCATTTATCTATTTATTCTTATCTTAGAGAACAGATTTCCGAATCTATAAACGCCTGCAGTAAATCTACCAGCAAAACCAGTAGTAAAAGAATATAATATACTGATATACTGTTTTATATATATAAGACCATATCATTCTTACACAGGATCCAAGAAAACATGTTACACTATATTCCACACTCAATTACTATTTTTCTACTACTTTAGAACTGGTCTCAAAGTACAACTGTATCAATGATCTAGGTGGGAATCTGTCTAATACAGTGCAATTGCATTTAATTTATACAAATTGAACTATACTTTCAACAAATCCCCTCCTCAATAAAGAGAGAAACAGACAATTCACATCCTTCTATTCAATATGGCTATGCTCCAGAGTAAGATGAAAGAAATGAACATGCTATACCTCAATCAGTCCAAGCAACCCCATCCATGTCTTTATAGTATGAGCATCTTATTGTACCAAGTACAACTCTAGTGTCTAATGATACTGTATGTGACTTTTTACTTCATGGTTCAAATGCAAGCCACTGGATCAGTACTTGGTCTTGTGTTCAAGCAAAAGAAAAGCTGACTATTCCAATGCTAGAAGAAAAAAGGTCCACTGAACTTACTAAGATATTCAAGTGATGTTAAAAGGTAATTTTAACAATATGATTTTTGCCTTATTACATGTAGACCTCAACCACCATATGTAAAATGAAAATCTACTACTTATACATGACAATCAGCTAATTTCATTTTTCTTCAGTCTTTGGCTCCAAATTCAAGCCTATATTCACTTTTTAATCAGGACACACACTTCTGGATAGGCAGAACACTTAAACTACTGGCTTCATTAAGCCTCACTACATTTCTCAAACCTATACACACATTTAGATCATTGAGTTAAATATCTGTATGGCTCATTAAATGGTAAATAAAGCAGGCAATGTATTACCTTTAACTGGGTAACTGCTTGTTCTGCATTCTTCTTTTGGACTTCCTCTTGCTGTAGCTTTCCTGTTTTCTCAGTCAACTCATTCACCAACCTAGCATAATCCTGGCGCAGTTTATTTAGTTCTGCAGACTGCCTGAAAACAGTAATTGGATTAGGAACCTTCCATTACTGTAAACACAGGTAATGATAGATAAATACAACATATTTTATGTTAGTTTTACTGAGCTAGTAACTCCACAAATAGCCAAATGAAAAGCAACACAATTTACTACTAATAATGAAGCTTGATTGAATATAATTCCTAAATAATTCTAAAGAGAATTATACAAATTCTAAAAAACCAGTCTTAAAATATCAAGAAAAATAGATGACCACAAACTCTTAAGGAGGCAGTGTCACCCTCAAACTGGTTTTCTAAAAACCTATTAAAATCAACCAGTTCATTGTAACTGACTATTCCATTGCCAAGAGAGAAAGAGCATTCCTAATTCTAATAAAATAAACTTTATTATTAAAAAAAAAAAATTAAAACAAGATAAATCATTTAAGGGTGCTTACTCTGTGCAAGCATCCTACTAGCCTTTCTATGGTACTGTTTCTCAAATGGTCCCAAAACCAACTATATCCTGGCTATAAGAAGGAGTATGTCCTCATTGGTAGATTCCTGAACTCCACCAGGATAGCCATTGGATCATGATCTTTCAGGGTTAGGACTCAAGAATATGCTTTTTTAGTTGGCATCCCAGGTGCTATTCAAAATAATGAAGTTTGAGTAGGGGACAAATGGTTTAAAACTTGTAAATTCAGTCAGATATATGTAAACTGCTCCACTGATAGCAGTAATATTTATTACATAACAGTTTATAACATGTATAGGTTGCACATAGCTAAAGTTTTTCATTCAGCGAAAGAATTATTTATGAAAAGAAAATTACTTTAGAAGCAAATGAAAGAAACAAAAGTCTAACCGATTACTATCAACTACTATCTTGATGATTCAAGAAAATACTCTACCATTTTTTTTTCACCCCCCCAATATTCTACCATTTAACCTAAAGCATTGAGAAACATACTTGCTTTCCAGTTGGTTTGTAGTGCTGCTGACAGCATCTCTTAGAATACCATTTTCTTGCTTCAAGTGAGCTATCTCTGCTTCCATCTGCTCCCGAACTTGCTGAAACTAATTATTTTACATATTTAAAATTTAGAAAACAAAAAGTACCTCACCACTCATTGTTGGTACAAATGGGTACCAATCCATTTGTTTTGGGTTTTTTGGGGGGTTTTTTTGTTTTTTAGGCAGTACTAGGTATTTAACGCAGAACCTCTCGAGAATGCCCCCAATCCTTTTGCTTTTAGTCTGTTTTTCACATAGGGTCTTGTATTTTTTGCCACGGCTAGCTTTGGGACCACAATCTCCACCTCCCTCCCAGGTAGCTGGAATTACAGATGTGCATCTCCATGTATAGCTCCCTCCCCACATCCTCAACCTGGCCTCCAGTGGAGATCCTTCTATCCCAGCCTTCCAAGAAGCTGGGATTACAGATGTGTGCCACTGACCTTGGCCCCCAAAGTTACCTTTAAAAAGAAATTTTAGTATTATGAGAATGTAGAAAGCATCAGAATAATGGTATCTTAATCACTCTTTCCAAGTAAACATAAACATATTTAAAGGAAAATTTTTCTTTTTTAGTGGTGAATGCAAAGTAAATAGAAGCTGTCCCAGCATTTGAGAATAAAATAAATACAGTTTCACAACTAATAAATTATTTAGGACTTCTTTCCTATCTAATAAAATTAATCCTGTCCTAATCCTAGAACATGTCAATTTTACATTAGCAATATTTTTAATGAAAGTTTTTAGTTACCCAAAGTTTACAAACTAGGAATATGCTCTAATACACTTATATTAAGTTAAAAATTGAGCCATAATTAGATAATGCCACAAAAGTCTACTTGAAAAATATGCTGACCTCTAGTTACTTTATTATGGCAAATACACATAATTTAAAATGTGTCATTTTTTTTTTTTTCAGAGCTGGGATCAAACAGAGCCTTGTGCATACTAAGCAAGTGCTCTACCATTGAGCTACATCACCAGCCATCTTAACTATTTCAAATGTGAAATTCAGGGCTATTAAATACATCCATACTATTGTACAACCATCATCATCATTCAGCTCGATAATTCTTTTTAAATGAAACTCCATACCCATTAACCAGTTAACTCCTCATTCACCCCTCTCTCTAGCCCCTACAACTACCACTAGAACTTTTGTTTGGCCTAATTTTTTAGTTTCAGAATTGCAGAATCAGAAGATAAAGAACACTGAATCTTACATTCATAAGGACACATATCTTAATCTAGTAAGTAAAATTACACTTATAAGACAAATTAATAGTTGCTGATAACCTTACTAATAGTTCAGTTAGGAGAAATTGAGGTATTTATTGCTATTTTCCAGAGAATTTATTTGGAATCTATATCCTGACCTCTATAAGTAATCAAATTTTTAAAAATTTTTTTAAATGACACACCAATAAAAGGTGTAGCAAAGTATCTGATTGAATTTCAAGTAAACAGTAAATAGCAATTGAGAAAAGATCACTTAAGGCTACAAAGACCAGTTCTTCAATAACCTGACTGATATGAGAGAAAATACAAATGACTAAGGAATGGGAAGATGCAGGAGTGGTCAAATAAAGCTAGAAGTAATGGACAGAATAAAAAACCTGACAATGTCACTCACTTGTTTTTTGTTATCAGTGACATGGCCAATGAAAACAATAGAACTTTGATACCAGTGAATAATTAAAAAAAAAAATTTTAGCCAACTAGCCATATAATCAAAGTAATATTTTACAAAAAATAATCTACCACCAATTACAGGTTAGAGTGGAAAAGAGAGACCTGTTAATAAAAGACTAATTATCCTACTGTGAGGTAAAGAAAGACATTTAAGAACTGAATGCAAAAGTAACTAACTACAAATAAAGTATTTACGATTCAGATCAACTTGTAGACTGGACAAGAAGGACAGAAGTCAAAGGATTCAAGTATACAGAATATATAATGCCTTAAACTATTGGAAAATAAAACAATCTGATCAACAGACAAGAATTTGACTTTAAACATGTTAAATCTAAGGAAACGACAACGTTCACAACTGAAGCATAGGGAAGCAAGTGGGGGTAACGATTTCAAAGAGAGTTCAGATTAAGGAAAGTATAAACTCATTTGGCAAGCAGACCCAAGCCATGTCCTTCAATAGTGTCTTTACCAGTGATGGGGGATGGGAGAAAAGTGGGAGAAGAGAAGAAAGTGAGAAAGAGAGGTAGAATTCACTGATCCAGACCTAAACAGAATCGTTAAAATGAATACTATATAGAACAGACTGTAAGAACTGAACCTCATGAAACACTAACAAAAGATAGGTGAAAAAATACGCAAGAATTAATAAAAGAGACAAAATGTCACTTAAGCCAAAACTCTGGGAGTCATCATTCACGATCATCTCTGTCCTCCACACTAACACCAAGCCCCATCCAATCAACTCTTTTATGTACTACTCAAACTCATCCCTTCATCATCAGCATCTTATTTCCAGCCCTTGTTTGCTCTGACTTGAATTCCTGCAAAAGTGTTTTAACCACATCTTGGTTCTACTCTGCACACTACTGACAAAGTGGTAATTAAAAATAAAAACAAATACTACTAGCCGCTTAAACTCCTGTACTGTCAGCCCAGTCTTAAAATATACAAGGCCCTCAAAGACGGGGCCCTCCCTACTTCTCTAGATCTTTTCTTCCTCAAGTTAACCCTGGTTCCCAATTTCCACAACTCTCTATATTTCTCACAAATGGTAACGCAATCATAAGTCCCAAAATAGACCTGCTGAGCCTGGATCTCTAGGGATGAACTAAAGAATCATACCAACTAACTTTTATACCCAGTGCCCATTTCTTCACACCCACTTGACAATGTTTAATTCAAAAGATTCAACAGTCTGCATATCAACTGTTCCATATCAGTCCTTCTGCTTCCCACTTCCCATCTCCATTGCTCCAAAGTACACAATGCTTACCTGTATTGTGACATGCTTTTCCTTGCCTGCTTCCAGCCTCCCTACCTCATCCCCACACAGAAAATTTGCTTACCTAAGAATGTGGACTAAGTTAAATAGCTATTGTATGCCAATGGCCCAGCACATTGCCCTGCTCATACAAGGCACTTGAAAGTTTATTAACTGAGTGTGAGGCAGGTTAGGAAAGGGAAATAACCCACCATGGGACCTCACTTCTCTTAAACAAACAGGCATTCCCCAGCACAGACCCTGTGCTATCTCTACAGCAATACATCTCCTCTAAGTTGTCAAGACAGCTTGCAAAAGAGGCACCTTTGGGTCTGCCTTGCTTGGTAAAAAAGGCCTGTCACCAAAATTTGACCTCCCAAGCCAAATGCTCTTCCTTAGGACCTTAGGTATAATTGTCATATCCCATACATGCAATTAAAGGCCCAAAGTTACCATAAGCGTGTACACAGAATACCCCTTGTTATGGGATAAGGCTGTGTTAAGTAAACCTGCCAGTCACTCTAACCCCTCTCTAAGGGCTGCCCAGATTTTCTCACCAATTTATAAACTGGACTTAAAAAAAAAAAAAAAAAAAAAAATCAACACTTCCATTCCGTCACGGTTCTTTCCTCTTTCTTTTCTTTCAATAACATTTTTCTACATTTTACAATTTGTGTCTCTGTCTAGTTCTCTATTCAGGTGACACAAGAACACGGAATCTTCTTAGACTACTCATTCCTGTAGCAAATGCACATATTTTAATCTTATTTCCAAAGAATGAAAATATACCTTCATCTGCATCTGTTGAGTCTCTTGATAACTGACATGCATTTTGTTTTGAAATACATTATGTTCCTTTTCTAATGTTCCGATCCTATCTTTCATCCTTGCCATAACCACATTACTTCTTTCTTTCTCGGTCATCATTTCCTAGAAGAGAAATGCAGAAAAGAAATCATGAAGAACTTATTTAAAAGGTATAAGCTTACAACAATGAGAAAAGGTTTTTAACATCAGTAAAATAAACATGAATAGTGAAACAATAAGTGCTTAAAAAGCAAAGTAAAAGATTTACTTTGCTATTCTTAACACTGATTGCCTTTATAAACACTTTGTCACCCTATTAGCTTTTATTTCAAATGTACTTTCTGGTTTAAAAGTTAAGAGACTGAGCCTAAAATAAATCCTATACTCTAATTTGATTATAAGAAAAAACATTTTAAGTTAAAAGTTATTATTCTCCAGTACTAGCTCTCTTGGGACATAAAAAGAAGGCCTGGACAAATAAGCCTAGAAGAGGGGAAAAAAAAAAAAGAAGAGCTCTCTTAGAAGAATAAAGATATGTCTACAGAACAACAGTTTAGAATAAAGGGAAGAAAAAGTGAGAAAGCAAAGCTTTATCATCTTCCCAACTCATATCTTAAAAGGGTGACTTTACTTTGTATTTCAAATATTATGAACTCCTAGAGTAAATATTAATTATCAAAATACATGAAAGGCAAGAGGTTACTTAGTTATCTGCAGGTTTAGTTCATGTATCTGCTCTAAAAAACTGACAAAATTGATAATTTTTATGTAATTTTTGACTGCTTATACATTTATATTTACAATGATGTATGATTCTTGAAAAGTACACACATCTTAAGTGTACAACACAAGTTATCAAAAAGTAGTTAACCTATTTTTAATTTTTTTGAAGAGTCAAAAAGAAGACATATAAAACTATAATAAAGTGAACAATAGTAAAGAGGCATGTTTTTAGTCATCTAACAGGATGTTTCCAAGACTATTATTTACTTCAAAATCACATAAAGGATTTATATTCAAACAAGGCCACTCATTCTTTTGATGCTGGCAAGTAGCTAGATAATGAGTCATAAACTCATTTCCCTACTACATTTAATACTAAAAAACAGAAACAAGCACTTCAGGAGGAAGGAGACCACATTTTCTACTTTAATTCTGTTCTCCCAGTCTCCATGATTTTATGGGGGTTTTTATGGGGTTTGGATGGTATGAGGGGTGGGATACGGGAGTGTTGAACTCAAGTCTTGGCACTTGCAAAGCAGGTGCTCTATCCTTGAGCCACATCTCCAGTCCATTTCACTCTGGTTATTTTGGAAATAGGGTCTTAAGAATTATTTGCCCGAGCAGGGCTTGAACCAGTATCCTCCTGATGTCAGCCTCCCAAGTAGCTAAGATTACAGGGATGAGCCTTTGGTGTCCAGCTACATGATTGTTTTTAAAAGGTTTGTTTAACTTTGTTTTTGGTTTTGTTTTAGGTTTTTTTGTTTGGGGTTGGTTTTTGTTTTTTTGTCCTCTCAGACTAAAATTTCTGGAGGTTGAAGAAGCTAATAAAATTTGTACACCCTGGGCTGAGGATGTGGCTCAAAGCATTGTACAGCACCTACCTAACAAGCACTAGGCACTAAGTTCAACCCCCAGACTTACAAAAGATTTATCATAAGACCCTCCGTAAATAAGTTACTTATAGAAATGCTTCCACATTTACCCCATAAATTGGATTTTGACAATATCACACCAAATTTTACGCTTCTATAGAAAATAAATGTAGGTCAAGTCAATTTAAAACAAACTCCCACGCTTCCGAACAGAATGCTTCCTATACGGTGAAATTAAGATATCTAATAAGTACTGTTATTTTAAATTAATAATTGAACTATAGGCTATAATATTAAAAGAGATACTTCCTACCAAAATTCTAAAAGAAAATTACTTTTATTAGATATAAATTTATTATACAAACAAAACTGGGGAATAGGGACAACTTTTAAACCTTTCATTGCTTTGACTCATAAGTATATCCCTTGAATCTAAGAGTCTCTTCACCTGGGTTAACTGCTTACACCGATCCTTTGTAGCAGCAGCATCTTCCTTCACAGCAGCAAGCAATTTGTCCTTTTCCTGAAGCTGATGCAGAAGCGCAGTCAATTCTCCCTTACTTGACTACAAGTAAGAAATCGATACAGAATTAGTATGGGCCAATGAAAACAAATTACCTAATATCAAGTGTTCTTAAGTCAACACAGAGCTCTATGCCAAAAACTGGTGAGTGGAATAAAATTTAGAAAAGTCACTGTAACATTACATACTCTAAAATTACCAATATGATAGAAAAGTTCAGAGTAATAAAACACTGGCTTGGATCTAATGACTAGAAAGGCACACTGTATCTAAGAGAAAATTGATAGAGGGGTAATGTCAATCTATATTCAAGTAAAATTAATGTTGAACTTTAAAGAAATTGAAACCCTTGCTATTCATATAGTATAGCACCCAGTGGAAAAATCCAATAAATAATAAAATTTGTTGATTACCCAAAGAATACTTTTACTGTAAGAGTGCAATTTGACAAAAATAAGTAAAAAAGTACAAAATTCAGGCTAAGCTCAGACCTATACCCAGCAATATGAATGCTCAGAATAGTAAAACAACTTCATTAAAATTTTTCAAGGAAAACCAGGAATGTTATACCCCACCAATCTATCATCTAAGACAACAAAGAAATGTCTTGAAAATTTTGGAATATAGTTTCCACTGAGGTCTTCTTGAAGAAACACTGTAATTAACCAAAGCTGAGAGGGAAGGAAAAGGAAAAAATTAGTATATACAGTAGTTCTTCCTGTTTATTTATTTGTATATATTATGGGCCAAAACCATTAATAGTTCAAAGTTAAAAAGTAACTGAGGCAAGTATATTTAAGCATCAATGTTAAAAATTAATTGTAGTCAAGTCATTTTCTTACTAGTAATCATACTGACATCTTTTAACACTTAGTATATGGCAGGAACTGAAAGCACCTACTACCTATTATCTTATTTAATTCTCAAAGCCTGATTTTCATTCCCATTTTAAAGATGGGGAAATGGAGGCATTGAGGTTATGTAACTGATCCATAAAACTCAAAGTGGCAGAGCCCAGATTTGAATTCAAGAAACCTGACTCTACATCCCACAATCTTAATCTACACTCTACATATAAAACACAAGGGTTTTGCATCTTAAACACAGGGCCATATGAACACACCACCATAAAATCTCCTCTCTAATTCTGCAACCCCTGCAGCTTTTACTCTACTTTTCTCTTTCCAGCTAAGCTTATTCACTGCAGACACACTGTTCCCTCTCCCAGTCATTTGTCACTTTTTTACAGTCTAATCAGAAAATGAAACTACTTTCACCAAGATAACAAACCCTCTCTAAAACATGTCACTGTTGACCTCCCACACCCCAACTCTCTCTGTCCTCTCTAAGCTTCTGGGATTCTACTATCTCCTGGTCTCTCTCCTCCTTTGGTTCCTCTTCAGTCTCCTTTGCAGTGAATTTCCTCACCCTTTAAATGCTAGTGTTTCTTAGGGCTCATTCTTGAGCTTTAGTCACTTTCTACATCCATATGTACTGGTGATAATACTAGATTCCTTCCCCAAATTGCTCCCAATGTATTTGCAACTACAAAGAAATATATATTCAATTGTGAAATGATTATATCCAATTAAATGGCACAAGGGATGCCTAAAACAACTTACTAGAATTCCACAATCCTTTATTCCCTCTTTCTCTACAACATGTTCATAAATGCCCAATTACTCAAACAATTACCCAGTTACTCAAAGACAACAGTCATTCTAGACCCTACCTAAGCCACGGTATTTATGGTCAGCAAGCCCCTAACCTCTCTTCCTATGCCAGTGCTCCTGCACCTTGCTCTGAAGTTGAAGGGGGTCTGTATTAGGTGTGAGAATCTATCTATATGTGGGACTTTGAAATCTCTTAAAGTGACCAAGACCCAATTTCTATGTCAGGAAAAGGGAGACACTCAATTTACCTAGTCTTTATCAGATATAGTAGACCTACAATAGCAGAATTTCTTCAGCAGAGAACAGAACCAGCCCATGAGAAGCCAGTAACAAGATTTTAATCCAAAGCTAAACAGCTCCAAGGAAAAGCTGAGGGGGCAGGAAGGGAGTAAGGGGCAAATAGTTTCAAAATCTTTGCCCTATATCAAATGCTATCTTCAGTGAGCCCCTAACTTCTTCCTAGGCTACTTAAAATAAAAATAAACAGTAGACTAATTTACCAACTGATCTTCAGAGATCAAAGATGCCTCAGACAATAAAATGACTACTCTTATCCCCACTCAGTTCCCAACATCTTTACTCAGAAAAGAGACTTAAACCAATTATCTTTAACTTTAAAAGGCAGTCATTTTAAACAGGTAGGTATTAATGTAGTAACTTCATCTGGAGTCTTTCCTATGCTAGAAGCTTTTCCTAATCTCCACAAATAACTAAAAACTCTTTAGATACATATTCACCCAAATATAATGAAGTGAACCAAAGGACAAATTCTTCATTCAAGAATATCAAGAAAGTTCCTTGCAGGAGAATAATCTGATTTTGCATTCAAAGCCACATAGCATTAGTAACCATACTTACGGATTGCCCTTATAAATACCCTGCTTACTGTGAGTCATCACTGGCACCACTTACAGACAGTCTAACCAATATACTATATTGTAAAATGTCATAGATTTGTCAGATGACTGTTAAAAGATATTTGAAAGTATGTACAGACTTATAATACTATTCCAAAGTTATCAGACAGCAGAAAAACAATTCACACTACAAATTCAGGTTATTTTATGAGAAAATGATATTTGAAGGGACAGACAGAAGAAAAAATTTTGTTATACATGAAGAAGCGAAGATGACCTCATATGGGTGAAATGTAGTGAGGGGATTAGATGAGGCTATAGACAGAAGTAGACATTAGCCTATTAAGGAACTGATGTTGTGCTCTAAGTACAAAAACAACAGCACGAAAGGTATTTAAAGCTGTGAGTATATAACCTAATTTATCTCTTTTTTTCTTTTTTTTGGTGGTAGTACTGGGGATTGATCAAACCCAAGGTTTTGTGCATGGTAGGCAAACACTCAACCACTGAGCCACATCCCCCAGCCCCCTAATTTATCTTTTAAAGGTCACCTTGAAGTTACATGGAAAAACAGCTAAGAGGGCTAAGAGAAAAAGCAAAAATATCAACTCAAAGACTACTGCAGGTAATTAGGTGAAAGGTATTAACTCAGACTAAAGCGATCTTTATTTGAAGAAAAAAATTAAACCACTCAAGGTGTTAGAGCAGGTATGTGTACACCATGTTTTAGAATAAGGAGAATTAAGTCAACCATTTAATACTGAATACCAGACACCATATCATCTATCTTATATAAGTACCACTTAAAAATCTGTCACTTTTTCCAGTATGACAAAGTACACATGACAATATAGTGAGCTTGACCCATAAGAATAATGTTAACTCCTTGGGAATTTTTTTGTTTACTAATTTTTTATCAGCCATAGCAATGATTCTGCCATACAAATCACTTTTTTTGAATGAAAGTATTATTTATACACACTGTAAGTAGACACATTCTGAAGAACAAAGAATTTAAATTCTTTAAATATGCTATCTTCAATCACAAAAACATTCCACATAAGCTGTCCAAAAATTATCTGACCTTGACTTTAATACTCTTAGAACAAATCAGAACAGTTTAGCCAAATGATGTTAAAGCCATAAAAATCATCTCATTTTTTTTAAGCAACTGGCTTTTGTCAAAAAAAAAAAAAAAAAAATCACATGACTAAAAAGATGCTTGACTCAGTAAGTTCATGATTAGTATGGACATATGAAATAATCTCTGAAGGCTCTCATTACATTTAAGATGTAACTGTCATTTTGGATGTTAAATACAGGAATAGACAATAATTAATTACTCTCGCAGAAGTCTTGTTTGATGAACTTCTAATTACTGCTCACAAATATGCCCAAAAATTATGCTTACCTTTTTTAAAGCATCTTTTATCACTCCAGACTTCTCCTTCAGCAGGTCTACAACACAAAGAGCCTCATCTTCAGAAAACATCATAGTTTTCAAGGACAGAAGAAAATCTTTAAATTTCACTTCAGCATTTTCTAATTAAAAAAAAAAAGGAGTTAGCATTTAGAGGCACAAGTAATAATCCAGCAAAGGTAAACATCAAGAATTTCTGGTCCAGAATCTCAAAAGCCAAGAGAAAACAGACTTATGCTTCCTCAGGTCCAACAACAATAATGCTCCAGTTGAGAGGGAAAAAATGTTTATCATCTGTACTATGCAACAATAACTTATTAACTAAAAGATTGCTCCAACTGCAGAATACTAAAATGCCAGTACACCTTAACTTGTACAAGATCATTTAAGTGTCTAGTGTGTCCTAGAATCTGCATTAGATATATTCATAATATCCCTATTTAAATTTAATAATCCTGAGATGTATATATAAACCAAATTCCAGACAAGGAAAAATAATTATAAAAATGAAATCTAATTCTACAAAGATCAAATATATACAAGCAATTCTGAATTTAAACAATGCATATATGAAACAACTCCTGCATTTACCCACCCCAATTTTCCAGGACTCCCACATTAGGTACTAACTTCATCTTCTTGAAGAAACTGGCACCCATTAGACCTAAATGAGCATAAGGCTTTTACACTTCAGCTACATAAGTTCTAAAAGGTGGTTGTGTGTATGCACAGGGTCAAGGAGGAACAGGGAAACACTCTGTACTTTCCACCTAATTTTGCTGAGAACCTAAAACTACTCTATTTTATGGGGGTGGGAGGGCACTGAGGATATAGCACAGTGGTAAAGCGCTGGCCTAGTACACATAAAGCCCTGACTTTGCTCCTCAGCACCTCAAAAGAAAGAAGAAAAGGAAGGAGGAGATAGAGAAGAAAGGGGGGAAGGAGAAAGGGAAGAAGGAAAGAAGGAAGGAAGGAAAGAGGGAGCTGTGAATTAAGCTTATAAACCTCACAGGAGATAATAGTAGAAAATAAAAAATCAGACAACAAAGTAGTTGTAGGACCTTGAGTAAGTCAAACACCAGTGTCCAGTTCTACAAAATTGAGAAGAATAGACTAAAAGACTACCAATTAAGTTTTACCGCAATGATTCTATCAGTCTTTTCCAACGCACTAACTCTATGAGAACATGCGCTTAACTCCATTAGAACTCAGAAATGTGATTTTATAATAAAACAGATTACAACTTCTATACATTACCTTTGTCAGTTTCAATCTTCAGTTTTTTAGTCCCAGATTTCTGGATCACTTCTACTTGGTCAGGTTTAATCAGATCAATAACTTCTCTCTTATCCACCACAAGATTTGAGTTAGCATTATCCATCAAAGGAATGTAAGTAGCTGCATGAATAAGGGGTTCAGCTACCAAGACTGCAATTTAAGTTCAACATAATCACAATTATTGGGTTTGAAAAAAAATGGGGGGGTAATTAAACAACATGCAAGCACACCTAAATTTAATACTAAAAGCAGTTTTTCAAATCTCTAATATTAGCTTAATTTTGTTTTAAATTCCAAAATCACCATTTAACAAGTCCAAACACTCTAATTCAAAAGTACCAATATTATTTTATAGCAAATCATTTAAGTCATATAAAAATGGGTAGCATAACAGTATCTAACAGAATCTGAAACTTCTTATATATCTCTTAATTAGCTCTACTTAATTTTTCTGAGGTTTTGTCTGATTTTTTGGTTTTTGGCAATACTGAGGTTTGAACTCAAGGCCTAAGCTTGCTAGGCAGTCAATCTACCACTTGAGTCATGCCTCCAGTCCTTTTTTGCTTTAGTTATTTTTTAGATGGGGTCTCATACATTTTGCCCAGGGCCAGCCTCATACTTCAATGCCTCCTGCATAGCTAGGACTATAATGTGCACCATCACACTCAGATTTCTTTTTGAGATGGGAATCCTACTAACTTTTTCCCAAGCTGGTCTCGAACTACAATCCTACTAATCTCTACCTTCCAAGTAGCTGGGATTGCAGGATGTATCACCATGCCTGGTTCCATCTGTTTTTGAGACAAGATCTGGCCATTAAGCCCAGGTTGGCCTCCTGAGTGCTGAAGCTGAGATTATAGGTGTGCACCACCATGCCTCACAATTTTTGTGTTCTGCCATAAGAAATTAAGTTCCTCTCACATGGTAAGTACAAAATCACAGTCACTGTTCCTTACAGATAGGTTCTCATTTCTAAGTTATGCACCCTGGAATTTCAATGGCACATCTTCTTACACTTCTTACAAACTTTAAGAGTAACATTAAAAGCCTCCTTATTTTGCTATTCATTTTAATGGGAAGAATTCTAATGAAAAGAACTAGAGGTGTGGATCAAGCAGTAGAGCGCATGCTTTGCAAGTATGAAGCCCAGAGTTCAAACTCAGACCCAACAACAAAAAGAACTCTAAGTCTGAACAGGAAGTCTGATATATGCATATAGATGGAAATCTCTCTATACAATCTTTTAAAAAATGGCATTTGCGCCTATGTAATTCCTCTCTTACTTAAAATTGTAACACTTCATTTTATCAAATATATTCAGGTAGTATTTCTCTCATACCTAATGTCTGATGTCATAATTTTAATGTAAATAAAATTTCATTTTTTCCCATTCCAAATTTACTATTTCCTAGCACTCACTAGTTGATATACTACTTGGAAATTACTGTTGTTTAATCTCCATAAAAAAATTTTTTTTGGTGGTACTGGGGCTTGAATTCAGGGCCTCACACTTGCTAGGCAGGTGCTCTACCACTTGAGCCACTACACCAGCCTTTTTGTGTTTGGTATTTTTAAGTTAGGGTCTCACGAACTATTTTTCCCTGGCTGGCCTTGAAAGATGATCCTCCTGAATTCTGCCTCCCATGTAGCTAGGATTATAGGCAGGAGCCACCTGAACTCAGCTAATGTCCATACATTTTATCACCAACATTCCCCAAGAAACTTCTGAAAAAATCTAAGACTGCTCTGTCACTTTTAACTAGACTGTCGTCTACACATGCAAATTTTACATAGGCAATAACAGGGAATGCAGGATAATGCTAGATCTAGCAAATGTCCTCAAGTACAATCTTAAATGATACTAAAAAGCATAAGCACTGCATGTTTTCTCTCCTATGTTGAAACTGAAAGAAAAAAAATGACCTACAATAGAAGAGGGACTTTTAGAGAAGTGGTGAGGTGTGGGGGAGTGGTACAACAGGGTGGTTAGGAAGGTGGATATGACCAAAGAACAAAATGTGTATGTGTGAAAATGTCACAGTGAAACCCATTAATGTATTCAAGTAATATACATTAATAACTATAATTTAAAAACTAAAAATTTTTTAAAATAACTATTTCAGGATTATTTTTCTTCTGTAGAGTTTATATGCTATTTTTCTCCAAAACTAAGAATGAGAATATTTACAAATGCCCTTTTTAAATTTCAGATAAATTTTTCATCACAAACTTATACGCAGCCTATCTGTCAGAGCAAGACAAAGCCACAATGCCAGGGAGAATTTTAGATTCTGTACGTTTCACATTAAACTGGGAACTAAACAGCATGTGAGGTCCCCAGAGTTCCTGTCCTAGTGTACTTCTCTACAATTAGCATTTATAAAATACATGACTATATATTTCACCATTTTCTGTCTTCTGCTTCTTTGATAAAACTTTCTTCTTTCCTGATCCACCTTCTTGTTTCGTCTCTTGATGGAAGGGTATCACTTCTTGCTTTTTTGAAGGTGCCATGAGTGTTTCCACCTTTTTCTCTTGGTCATCTTTATTGAACATAAATGGGGGAAGAATATCATAGCGAACAATGAATACATCAGAAAAGATATAATTATGAATGAGTAACTTTCAGAATGCTTTACCACTAAAATCTTCAAGACTGATATTTAACTCTCTCACCAATAACCTTTCATTGCAGCTTTCTTCCTCTGCTACATGAGCTCTTCAGTGTGCTTGCCTCTTCTTCATATTCCATTCCAGAGCCACTCCCAATGCTCCTTGGCCTACCATATAGTTAAGTTCCCTGCCACTGTAATTCCCAGCCTCCCACACTCATTTCTTTCTGCAGTGACAAAAGAATATTCTATACTTCCTTTTCTACCAATCACTTTCAAATAATTTTAAAACCTGATTTTTGACCCTCCCACTTCCATAAAAGGAGTCAAGTCCCCAGTGTCCCCAAAGTCACACTGACAAATAATGCCCACTAATCTTTATTACTACACTTCAGTATTTCATTCTACTGGTCTTCACCTCTTCCATAAAACTCTCCTCCATTATGCTAAATGAAATAAGCATGTCACAAAAGGCCAAATAACGCATGACTCCACTTATATGTGGTTGCTAGGACAGCTGGTTTCACAAAGACTGAATGTGGAATGGTGGTTACCACGACATAGGGGACAGTGAAACAAGGAATTAAATGTTTAATGGGTACAGAGATTCAGCTGGGGAAGGTGGTTGATGGTGATTACACAAAAAATGAATGTAGTGAACACCAAGCATGTTCACTTAAAATTGATTAAAATGGCAAGTTTTACAGCATACCAAAAAAAAAAAAAAAAAAAAGCCCAGGCATGATGGTTCACATCTGTAATTCCAGCCACGCTCAGGGTAGAGATCAAGAGCACTGAAATTCAAAGCCAGCACAGACAAAAAAAGTTAGTGAGACCCCATCTCAACCAATAGTTGAGATGGCAATAGGCATAGTGATGTGCACCTATAATCCCAGCTCCATGGGAGACTGTAGGTAAAAGGCAGCCCCAGGCAAAAATGCAAACCTCTATCTGAAAAATAACTAAGGCAAAAAAAGGGATGGAGGTATGGCTCAAGTAGTTAAGAGTCCTTTCCTAGCAAGCTCAAAGTCCTCAGTTCAAACACCAGTACCACCAATGAAAAACAAAATTCTTTCCTATCAGTTGCCTAATTCTCTTCTTACACTCCTAATATTTCTTTGCAGTCTCTGTGAACTGTTTCCACTGAATACCTCATATGCTGGTATTCTCAGATCGTCTTGCCTATACCCGTGACTTCAACTGTTACCTTTCTGCTTAAGGCTTCTCAATCACTCTGAACCCATATTACAAGCTCACCCTTCCCTACATTTACATATGCACTGCACCTAAAACACAAACTGAAAACATTCCTCTCCACTCACCCATATCCAGTCTCGCCTTAGTGCTAACACCACTTAATCAATCAGGAATTAGAAAACATTTGTCAAGAACCAGAGTAAATCCTTTAGGCTTTTGCAAGTCACTATAGATTCTTTCATAACTATTTAAATCTTCTACCACACGATGAAAGCTACTCACAGATGTATGTAAATGAATTGAGTGGCTGTGCTCAAAAAAACTTTTTATAGACACTGAAGCTTCATTCATAATTTCTGCATTTCTCAAAGTATTACCCATCTTTTGATTTTTTTTTCTCCAACCATTTAAAATGTAAAATGTATTCTTAGCTCACAGGCCATAAAAGCCAGGAAGTAGGCCAGATATAGCTCACCAGTTGCAGTTTGCAAATCCTGACCTTATAACTTAGTAGATAACTTTGATCCTGTTTTCTCCTTTTATCTGCCACACCCCTATCTATATAACAGCTTATGTAATTAGCTTGGTGTTGTCATTCTTACTTTATAGCCTCTCTACTTTCTATTTCTTCTGTCCCTACATCTTAACTTTAGGAAACCACAACTACTTCCTACCTAGTCTTCTGCCTGTATCAAATACTGCTACACAGGATACGTCATCACAAGTTCTGCCAAAGAAGTCTTTCTAAAATGCAAATCTGAAAATCATTAGCAATCACTAACCTAAGAAGTTCCAACTCCTGGAATGGTACACAAGAACCATCCCAAGAATCTTTGCTCCCATGTCTCATATGGGACACAGGAAATGTTTCTTCCTTTTTTTTCCTCCAATTTTCCCTCCTTTATCCTGCTATACTAAAATAAATCCTTGTTAAAACTTCAAAATAAAAAACATCATCTAGCCACTGTTGTCTTTTCAGCTTTGTTCCCTACCTCTTATTTCATGGCTCTATAATATACTGTATTCTTGTACCTCTCTCTCTGTGTCCTTATACATGATATTCTGACAATGTGGAATAAGACCCACTATTTGCTTTAATGAAACCAGTTTTAAAGACCCAGTTCAGGCACCACCTCCTCTGTGAATAAGCCCTTTACCCACCGCCCCTCACCTCCCACTCCCAGTCAAAGCCAAAATAGTTACTTTGGCTTCTGTGTTTGTTACATACTTTGTTATTTTTGTCTATACATTCACTACTTAAATCACATCCCAGCTTGCATGTCCTTCTTCCCCACTAAAACATAGTAGTTCCTCACTCTTATTTCTCTAGTACCATGCTTGATCATAGCTGGCAAGCTATATTAAAATCCAATATAACCGATTTAACATTCCACAACTTAAGATACACAAGCAACTTTTAAGTCCTTTCATGCAAAGAAAATCATTTTCACTTCCACACGTCACTTGTCATTTTTTTAAGTCCTTTCCATTGTACAGTCATCCCTTGATATCCATAGAAGAACTGGTTCTAGAACCTCCTCCCATACTAAAATCCACAGATGCTAAAGTCTATTATATAAAAATGGCATAGTATTTACATGTAACCTATGGACTTCCTCCCAAATACTTTAAATCATCTCTAGATTACTTACAATACCTAACCCAATGTATATGCTACATAAATAGTTGCTACATGACAATTGTTTAGGAAATAGCAAAAAGAAATATGCACATGTTCAATATAGACACAAGTATTTTTCACGTATTTTCAATCCACAGATGGTTAAATCTGAGGATATGAAATCCATGGCTATGGAGGACTGACTATCTCTTCCTTGGATACTCTATCACACCTCTCCCTGACCACAAAAAAAACCTAGCTCACATTTATTCAAACTTTAAAATTAATTTCCAGCACTACATGTTCTAAGTGACCTACCTTAGAATTCCTGCATTGGTTTAGACATACCTAGGTCATCACTTTTTTAATGATTTTATGATTTAATATTTTAATGATTTGTGTCATGTCTACCTCTAACACACTATTCACCTCTAGTGCCCCAGTAGCTAGTATAATGCCATGCATAAAATAGATGTATGATAAATGTTAGCAAAATGGATCAAGGATAAGAAGCAATATTTTATCTTTTCATTTTCAATTCCTACCACACTGATTAGAACGTGTTGGTTGAAATAAATACAGAAGTTTCTAACTGCTGGTAACTATAGGTCCTTAGTGGTTTTAATAAAACCACCAGTCAGATTTACCAATGTCTATTAATTTATATAAATATTTATATTTGTCAAATGAAATTTAAAAAGCTACTTTATGATCATTACTAATTTCTGTTAGCAATCAATATTGGTGAAAGCAAAAACATAGTAAAAAGAACAATCTCAGTTTCAGACTCAATACAATCATGCAATAAAGTTAAAGACTACAATACCGCTTCCATTTTTAGACTTCTTCTGCCCAGGTTTCTTCTTTGAGGCAGCCGCTTCAGAGGGCGGGGTAGGCTGTTTTGTAATTGGGACAGGTTCTATTTTTTTGCTAAGAATCTTTGATGCATCAGTTTCTTTGATGACCTGCTCTTCAAGTAAAGGTTTCTGTTTCTTCTTCTTCCTTTCCCTAACATTACTTGGAGTCTCAAGCACATTCGATGGAACAGGTACGACTTGCTCATCTTCTATAGCCAAAGCATCAGATAATTTAAAATCTCGAGGTACACTCTCAGAATCAGATTCATGCAGACTCCCATTCTGAATTTCTTTCTTTTTGTTCTTCTTCTTTTCTGCCTTCTTTTTATCAGTTTTTGTGGGAATAAGCTTTTGTTCTCTTTTCTGTTTTGCAAGAACTTCATCATATAATGTTTCTTTCATAAAAAGCCAGAAGAAGAGGAAAATTACTGTAATAACTACTGAAGGAATAAGGGCTATAAAATATGTTGATTCATAGAACTCCATGGTGCTTCTGTTAATGCGAACCTATAAAACCTAAATGGAGGGAGGACAAAAAAACCTCAGTCTTACAAAAATTGAACTGACAAAAGCCCTACTTCTTGGTGGCACTCAGATCTAACCTGGGCTATAGATCTAAATCTGAAACAGATTAGTTACCTCAACCACAGACTTTGCCAGCTACAATTCAAACATACTAGAAAAGAAAAATGAGCGGTAATACAAAGTTTGTAGTACATTCTTCCAGGAGCTTAGGTGTTATTTTCCCCCTTCTTATTTATTTTTTGGTAGTGCTAGACACTAAACCCAGAAAACACTACATCTTCTGCCCCACTTTTGATACTTTATTAGTACTTACCTTTTTCCCTTTTATTGTGTAATATTGATGTATATTACTTGCCATACATGAAAATAAAGAGGTAGTAACTATTACCAGCAACAATGGCCACTAAAAATACTAAACTTTTAATGGGAAAAAAGAGGTGGAGCATTCCTTCATTTACAAAATTGAGGCCACTCAATAGCTGCTAGCATCTTCATTCCAGTTACTAACAGCCTCATGTGGTAGGATACATCAAGGATACAGAAATATAATAAAGTCAAAATGAGAATATTATGATGTGGCATTTGGCTCTAGGTATGGGAACTAGGTCATCAAATTTTTCTAAACTCACAATATGTTTGTTGACTTGATAACATGGAGACAGGTAGAAGGGTCAGAGGTTTGTTGTTTTGTTTGGTTTTGGCAGTACTGCAGTTTAAACTCAGGGCTTCGTGTTTTCTAGGCAAGCACTCTACCACTTGAGCCACGACTCCAGCCCCTTTTGCGCTGGTTATTTTGGAGATAGGATCTTGCTTTTTGCCCAGGTTGGCCTGGACCTCAAACCTCCAATTTTATACCTCCCAGGCATAGCTAGAATGACAGACATGCACCACTATGCCCAGCTTTTTTCCACTGAGATGGATTTTCACAAACTTTTTTTGGTTTTTTGGGTTTTTGTCCCCCTGGATGGCCTGGAACCACCATACTCCCAATCTCAACCTCCCTCGTAGCTTGGGATGACAGGCATACACCATGACACCCAGCTATTGGTTGAGATAGGGTCTTGTAAACTTTTTGCATGACCTGGCCTTGAATCTGACACCCCCTCCCCAATCTCAGCCTCCCAATTACCTAGGATTATGGGCACGAGTCACCTCCATCAGGCTGAAGCTCAGGTTTTGTGTTGCAAGTTGGCAAAATCACCAATGAAATTTCTCCCACATTACCAGATGGCCTTTGTAATATTAATTTTAACCTAATCACTCTAAATCATAAAAGATTCCAATATGAATGCCAGTGATAGATGGTAAACAAGATTTCTCTATCAAGTGAGCCAGGAGTAAAATAACCACAAGATAGTAAGAAATCAAGCCCAACTATTCTCAAAGCACAGTGCATACTGGTCTCTTTTAACTTTTACTCAGACATAAATCCTTCAAGAAAATAATGAAAGATAATGACGGTTTCTCAAGGAAAAAAGTGTACATACTAATATTTACAAATAATTTCAGATTTCTGGACTCCCTAGAATAAGAATGACAGCTTTCATCACTACACCACCTCTAAAGAAGTCCAAAAATTGTAATCTCACAGTATGGAGAGGGGTTGGGGGACTAATTCAGTGGCAGAACACTTACCTAACATGCAAAGGCCCCAGGTTCAATCCTTAGGAACTCACACATACACACATACACATAATTAAATCCTGTATTTCATCAAAGAGTACATTATGAATGTTAATCACCAGTTTTTAAATTCCATTTATTCATCCTCCTGTAACTACACTTGCTCATGTAAAATTCGAGCAATATCATGAGTTAATTTTGTAAATCTTTCTACTTAATATATTAATATGACAAATATTTGTTAATATAGCAAAAACATGAAATTTTTAGTGACATGTAAATCCACAGGCAATGACTAAAATTTCATTCAAACCACTTAACTAAGGACAAAACTATAAAGATAGACCACACTGTTTCTGAAGATAAAACAATGAAATGATTTCAGTGTTGAACATCTACAGAAACATTCCACTGCTGTTTAACATAATTAAGACTGTATAATACAGCAAAATGCATAACAGAAAAAAACCCCACATTTTATTTAATACTTACCCATTACATGCATAATCAGACTACACATAAAAGTGGCAATCACTACATTCTCTGCAGGGGCTGAGAGCACATTTGTTTTAGTATTGGGTGCATCTTTTCTCCTGTATTTTTCAGATGCAACCTTGTACTTCTTGCCCCAGCTGACCTCAGATGGTAATCCTCTATATTTGGGTAGTACCTATCTACAGCCTCCTGTAGCTGGGATAAGAGACACACCTGGCTTACTGATTTAGATGGGGTCTTGCTAACTTTTTGCCAGGGCTGACACTGAACCCTGATTTTCCCAATCTCTACCTCCCGAGTGGCTGGGATTACAGCTATGAGCCACCACACTCGGTCTTGGAGAACTTCTTAAATGTCTTTCACATTAAAACAGAAATTTAAGTGACCACTCTGAATGCACAATATTACTTGGTTTCGTTTCTTGTGTTTTGATTTTGAGCCCAGGTCTCACTAAGTAGCCCAGGCTAACCTCAAAGTCAGGATTCCCTCCAGCTTCACCCTCTTGAATGCTAGGATTATAGATATTCCCCACCATGCTCTACTACAATATTACCCTTCTCAAAGTAAAACCAGAAATAAAGAGTGTTGCTTATATGAAAGAAAAGTAAAGCAGTTTAATCAAAATGCCATTAAGTATAAAGTAAACATAAGAATTTTCAATACTACTGGGGAATTTCACTTGCTCTTGCTTCTACTATTATTTTCTTCAAACTACGAGCATTTAAAAATTATACACAAAAAAACTAGTATTATGTATTTTTCTGTACTTCAATTGATAAAATTTTATCAGATGGATGATTCAAAAAAGGCATGAGAGAAAAAAATAAAATTTCGAGACTGAATTCTGAACAAACTGAAAGTTACTCTTTATCCATTGACATACATCAAACAGCATACAATCATCCAATCAAGCAGGCATATTTGCCAAAATCATATATCAACTAATTGAGGAAAACATAGTTTTCCACCTGAAAATGCATAATTTCCTAAAACTTACAATGACGTCTGGACAACTAATAACTGCACTTTTAAAAGATATGCAAGCTTCCATGTTAGCCTGCAAGAGCTTTATTCAATGCACAATGTAGTTCAATGCACGGCTATTACTTGAGTAGCTTTGAAACCTAAGCTGAAGGTTTTTATTTTAGGTTTTTTATAAAAATAGTGTTCCTGAGTTTAAAAAACCTGTAATCTGATCACACTGAATCCAAACACCCCAATATTTTACCGTTTCCTATCCTTTAAGTCCACATTGACATTTTGCTGCTTTTTAAAAAAAGGCAAGTTAATATTTTTTTAAGGAAAATGATGCATTTACAGTCCATTACTGATGGCCAAGTATCATTTAATCAAATTTCCATTCCACAACAGAATGATATACAATATTTTATGAATTCCTGCAAAATTAAAGATTGGGCATTAGACTGGCAGAGTGGCTCAAGTGGTAGAGTGCCTACCAAGCAAGCTTCAGGCCCTGAGTTCAAATCCCAGTACCGCCCAAAAAAAAAAAAAAAAGATGAGTCATTGTGTAGTTGCTAACTTTCAAAAAAAAAATAGGCATGTTATACTCCAGATATATCCTTAGGAAAAGTAAATTATTTTAAGATTGGTTAATAGGCCAGGCATAGTATTTCACACCTACAATCCCAGCTACTTGGGAGGTGATCAGTAGGATCGTTGTTCAAGGCCAGCCCAGGCAAAAAGTTAGCAAGCTCTCAATCAATAAGCTAGGCATGGTGGTACATGCCTGTGATCCCACTGTGGGAGGCCTCAGGTAGATCAAGGTATGACGCTGGCCCCAGGCAAAAACAAAAATCCACTGGTGAATAATATTTTAATAATGCACTGACGGAGAAGTTAAGAATCTCAGTTTTGGTACCAATTCTGCCTTCACTCAAGGTATTCCTAAAAATTGGTATCCACGGATTACTTCTTATGTTCCTTTATGGTCTAAACTGTTTGCATGATCTAGGAAATACCAAGCCAAAAAATTCAAGTAGTCCCAAGTTGGTGGTGCCCAGAGTGCATGTGGCAAAAGCAAAAGCATGTCATCTTTGGGGGAATCCTCCCTCAAGCCAATCTCCTCAAACTTATCAAAGATTGTTACCCAGATATGAGCCTACAACCCAAAATCAAAAAATGTGATAAGCCATCCTGGGCAAGAGGCAGCAAAAAACAAGTTAAAAAATTTAATCCCTCAACTAAAGATACTGGAATCAACAGATACAGGTTACAAATACATGAGGAAGTTAAGAAGGAACTGGAAAAATGAGCAAAGAAGGGGAAGAGAGGGCAGGAAGGGAAAGGACCAACTATTAACATACAGCATATGAAGGGGTAATATTAACAATACTGGTAAGCAGGAAAGAGAAACAGAACAGAAACAGGAAAGTGGATAGTGATTTCAATTTTAATTAAAATGGTCAGGGAGGATTTCATTTGGAACAAAATGACATTTGAATAAACACATGAAATAAAGACACACCATCATCTATACATACTGAATAGCAGAGTATGAAGGAGAGCAAGCACAAAGATTCTAAGACAGGAATATACCTGTCATATATGAACAAGGACCATGTGGTTCACATAGATTGAACAGGAGGAAAAGCATAAGAGGTTAAGGAGATGTGAAAGTGGAGTGTTTAACACATCATGTAGTGCCTTGCAGGCTACTTAGTGAAAGGACTACAGCAGTACTACCAATAATATGGGAAGCGAGTAGAAAGGAAAAAGTAAGAACAGGAAAACTGTTAGGAGACTATTGAAATATCTATAGTTGATTAGAACACGTTTATTAGCAGTGAGGTAATAAGAAGTGGTCAGATTCAGAGTTAAGATGATTTGCTAACAGATTGGATGTGAAATATGAC